TACAGTCCGGACTTGACCATGGTCCACAGTGATACAATGAGGGAAGTGATAATATAGAGTCCACAGGCATTGTCCACGGAAACCCCGGAGCAAAGACCGTCCTTCTGATGCTGGGAACAGACCGCTAGTAATTATCCTTTTCTACTGAAGCACAGCGGATCCAGAACTATCCGTCTGGTCAACTGATGAGGTCAATATCGCTCAAATAAGCAGTTTCTTTTTCTGCAATTGTTACCATTTTGTTAAATCGCATCCGAAATTGAATTTGCATCGGTGACCATATGACTGTTTGAAGGGTGGAGGTATTTCTTTTGTAACCAACGAGGTCGTTTAGCATTAAAATGAGCTTGACCGTGATGAAATAACGGCCTTTACCTGATTTGGCTCGATAGTTACTGTTTTGTAGGTTCATTGAAATGTAATAGTTGGTGACGGTACCCGAATTCCGTTACTGTAGTAATTAGTTTTTGTCACAGAGGATGCTGAGATAAATGGTGGTTAGCTTGGACATTAGTCCAGTTGTCCAGTTCTTACTTGGACATTAGAGCAGTGTCAAACTACATGTACTCTAACAGACGCGACGCGTTGGGAGACACCAAGACATTATGAAATCGACATATGCAAATAAAGGTTTGACAATACGTGTCAGTCTTAAGGCAAACTTGTATTTAGCAATTTGTGTAAATATAGCTTGACACTCACACACAGACATACATGCAAAATGTACACGCAATACTAAAAAAATACAATATCAATCAGCACTGTTTCTTTTCGAATTTAATGACTTTTTTATACATATACAGACGGTAAAAGTATACACTTGAAAATTGGATTTGGAATTGGATTTCACCCCATAAACAAACTTTATCAAAAAGTTTCACGGATAAAAACAGTCGCTGAAACACTGCAAACTTAAGGTTCAAAACTCAATTATGATAACCGCAGTAAATATATCACATATAATAAACATTTCTTTTCTGTTTCATATTTAGCCACCATCAAACATGGGTGTATACTGTTTGTACTGAGCAAGATATATATATACCATGTTCACTAATAACTTCGATACTTTTAAGGTGTTTTCTTTAAACTTAACCGTAGTAAGCAAATATTATTTCAACTTGGACTACGTGTGTATAACCTTAGTTTTCCTTAAGAGTCAAACTGCATAGTGAATTGATGTAGGATTAGCGAAAGGAACGTTAATGTACAAAGCATTAGGCGTTGAACGGGAGGGGGTGAGAAGATTGTATTAAACAAAGCAGAATGAGCTTTGATAGGTTCTCAGGCAAGGGTTTATATTTTGTGTCGGTAGCGTCCAACAAAAACAAGATCAAAGAGCACTACAATTTCTAACGGCAAGTTAACCAGCAGCGTTGTTGATTAATGACATTAGAAGGACATCATTGATCATCGCCATCAGCCCCGGGCCATCAAATGACATTTTAGTGGGGCTGAAATACTACCGAAAAACACACGTTCAATTAAGGCTCATGGCGAACACTACCATAGGTGGTTGTGATATACTTGGCGGTGGTGATGGACTCCATGTCGGAGTCAATTCATACACACCTTTATGTCATTAGAAAGCGCCAAGCTCATAAACCTATACCCCATAGAGTACCTAGCGTATTGTCAGAGTCGAGATGCTGGGTTGATTGGGGGACAAGTTCTTCTCTCTCTGGTATTTAGACATTTTACCAACTCTCTGGTATTTACAAATGTGAAAATACAAAATTCCGAAATTGGATAACAACACCTTTAATGCTGACACTTAGAGGTCCAAAATGTACGTATGTACGTGTGTACGTTTGGATGTATGTATGTATGTATTTATATATATATATATATGTGTGTGTGCACGTGTGTGTGTGTGTGTGTGTGTGTGTGTGTGTGTGTGTGTGTGTGTGTATGTATGTGTATTTATATATATCTATACATATATGTGTGTATATAGCAAAGAGAGAGTGTGAGAGAGAGACATTCCATGAGATATTTATATATATATATATATGTGTGTGTGTGTGTGTGTGCATATAGCAAAGAGAGAGAGAGAGGTGAGACGAGAGAGAGAGAGAGAGAGAGATGTGTGTGTGTTTATGTATGTATGTGTATCTATATATATCTATACATATATGTGTGTATATAGCAAAGAGAGAGAGAGAGAGAGAGAGAGAGAGAGAGAGAGAGAGGGGGTGAGACAGAAGAGAGAGAGAGAGAGTGAGAGAGAGATGCCATGATTGATGTACATTCCATGAGATATTGATATGTATTATATATCTATACATATATGTGTGTATATAGCAAAGAGAGAGAGAGAGAGAGAGAGAGAGAGAGGTGGGACAGAAGAGAGAGTGAGATAGAGAGAGAGAGAGATATGCCATGATTGATGTACATTCCATGAGATATTATCATGTATATATATCTATGCATATATGTGTGTATATAGTAAAGAGAGAGAGGTGAGAGAGAGAGAGAGAGAGAGAGAGAAGAGAGAGAGAGAGAGAGAGAGAGAGAGAGAGAGAGAGAGAGAGAGAGAGATATGCCATGATTGATGTACATCCCATGAGATATTATCATGTATATATATCTGTGCATATATGTGTGTATATAGTAAAGAGAGAGAGGTGAGAGAGAGAGAGAGAGAGAGAGAGAGAGAGAGAGAGAGAGAGAGAGAGAGAGAGAGAGAGAGAGAGAGATATGCCATGATTGATGTACATTCCATGAGATATTGATATGTATTTGAACATGTGCAGAGTTCGGGTGTTCTTTCATACCAATATAACTTCTTCCATATAACTCTTAATTCAATTGACTGCATATTTATCACAATTATGTATTATTATAGCATATTGCCTTTTACCACATTCGCACTACAATAGTGACGTGGATGGTGCTTCTTTAAAGAATTTTTAAAACAAAAAGTCAAGACATGCAAGTTTGACATGCCATGTAATTTTCACCGCTATTTTGCCTAACGCCCAATGGGATCTGTTTCGGCGGATGTTCCAGAGTGGTTATTCCCTGGCGTTGACTTCATAAATCATAGCACGTAAAAGGTATATGAGGGAGTTTCATGTATGCATTTAGAAATATATGTAATTCCATCTCCCTCATCAAGAAGAAATGTACACTGGTTGCATCGGATGTTTGCGCTTCAACCACTGTGCCACTCTACCGCCACTTTAATTATGAGAAATATTTGTTAAATTTAAATTGTATAATAAATGTAATATATTAAATGCCTTGAATCATTGTTCAGCACATTAACATTTTGATTAAATAAAAGCGACAAATACTTATCAATATTCATAAGAAATCTCTGCTGAAATCTCTGATTCCGACTAAATCATAAGCATAATTATGCGGCTATCTCTCCTCATGGCAGGACAGGTTTAGTCCATATCCAGGGCAATCTTGTGGCTCAACGATACGTCAACGAAATTCACCTGCCACACTTCCTCCCAACTTGTGCCAGCCTCCCAGCTAACGGCAACGGCGTATTCCAGCAGGACAACGCTCGACCGCATACAGCACGGATCACAAGAGCCTGTCTACACAACAACAACGATGATGTTCTCCCCTGGCTCTCCTGATCCCCGGATTTGAACCCGACAGAGCACCTGTAGAATGAATTGGATAGACGGCTACGCCGACGTCAACCACAACCCCAGACGTTGCAGCAGTTGGCTTTTGCGTTGCAGGCCGAGTGCGCTACCATTCCCTTAGGATGATCATCGTTTTCCTTCGGCGTGTCCTACGCAGGATTATGAACCATACATCGTGTTCCTGCTATTAAAGGATGCACAGGTGTAATCCTGAGATTCTGAACATCCCAAAAGACACATCAGCTCTTCAAATAATAGGGAGTTTATTTACGCAGCCTGGCATCTAAAATAAAACTTATACACAAGTACAGACACATTTAATGATTACAAACATTTGCGACCATGAGTCCTATTGTATTCCTGGTCAGCTTTATACTTGAAAAATCCTCTTTAACCTTCCGTACACAGATTGAAGGAATACTGCCAGTTGCAACAATCCAAAGAACAGTTAATCCATCAACAGTGCCGTAGCCAGCCGAGTGTGTGTGTGTGTGTGTGTGTGTGTGTGTGTGTGTGTGTGTGTGTGTGTGTTACAGAAAACATTTTTCCTTGTGACAGTTTACTTGAATAAAAATGAATAATTTTATTTGACCGCCCCCACTCTCCCCCCCCCCCCCCCCACCCACCCACCCCGTCAAAAAAGGTTAACTACGGCCTTGATTAATGGATGCCGATGTGTGTACCATCTCCGCTCACACCTTGCACTTGCCTGTACAGATTTGCTGAAATATTCATAATAAAAACTCATTTCTTCAGTGTTGTGACTCATTTGATTACCTCGTAACGAACAAATAGACAAATAGACCAAATCGTCGTTTATCATTTATTCCCTCAGAAATGTGTGATTGTAATACCATGTTTGGAGGGTAAGTGTTTGTACGGGCACAAGTGTTGCCTGAAGCTGCTAACATAGGCAGTGAATAGTTTCATTTCCGTTTGATGTGGAGTCTTACTGTTAAACACCTTCTTATGAAACTTTTCCCCTTTAAAGAAGATTTTATAGTTTTAAAACATATCAACTGAACACTTTTCTACCATCGACGACACCTGTTCTGGAAAATGAGAACATAGAGAGATGTGTAAGAACATGGTTTGAAACCATTCGTGATGTGAATCTGACAAGCGATATGAGGTTCTCTTAAACATCTGTAACTACAAAGAGATTTAAAGTTTGAGTGCGTGGGGCTGTACGGAGCGAGAGCTGTGGGCGTGACAAAGGCAGGGGGCATCCCTGAGTGTTCCGACAAGTGTATGGCACACCACAGGCCCGTGTGCTCGCTCGGCCTCGACGGACAGCTGATTGGATGGCTCTAGCTGACGAACTGTTTTATGTAGAACAGTGTCTAAAGATATGTTGATCTGTACTGGGATACAGGATGGTAATGTCTCATACATTATTTACCGTCGTCGGAGGGTTGTAAGACAAGCTGTGTCTCCCGCGTCGTCAACATCAACTGTGTTTGAAGGAAGCTTATGTTTACCTTTGTTAGCTGAACGTTTTAAAGCAGTTGCTTCATCTCATAAGCGAAGTATATTCATCCAGTTGACGTGGATATATGGACATTTAATTTCAAAGGTGAGACACGATTTGTGAAGTCTGTGCAGGAGGTACGCTTATGAGTATCCTGCCCGGAGCTTCATTGAGCAGTGTGACTGATACAGTTAGATAATATTCTCCTGTTGGCATCACATAAAGAAGATACAGATTGAAAGATAGAGAAGATGAGCTACAACTTTAGAGACCTTGCAAGCACGGAGGAGATTGTACCATCAGGACAGAAAGTGTTGAACATTACTCTGGAATCGGAGATGCTATCAAGCAGATTTAGAATTAATATTACTGACGATGTTCAAGCGGTTATAAATAGGAATCTATCTGAAGCGGAGACCCCGCCATGCACTCCCTTGACCCCATTAAGCGCTTCTGGGAGTGAGGGGGACGTTTTCACATTCTCCCCGCTTTCTGAATCGGACGACCAGTGGTCAGGATGCACCCCACACAAGACGAAGTTGCTTGACCACAAGTGTCCGAGAGCTCCCCGGAAACGACAATCAACTTCAGACGCCGACATCAGCATCGATGAACGACGACGTCGACGGCAGGCGGCCAACGCTCGTGAGAGGAGGAGGATGGAGGGTTTGAATGTAGCATTCGATCGTCTTCGTGCAGTTATTCCCGCCAGCAGTGACGACAGCCAACTGTCCAAATACGACACCCTCCAGATGGCACAGACGTACATTCAGACTCTCTCAGATCTGCTGACCAAGGTTGATAACTGAACACTGCACCTACAGTGTAAGGTCATACACCCAAAACAAACTTTAAACCGACAGGTGCTCATATTGTGAATTTTACTTTTTACTTTCAAAGTATGAAAGAGTTTGAGGAACTGTAGACTTCTGATGGTGCGTGAAATAGAGACTTGCGAGCTTTTTTAACCTCTGGTGACTATTCACAGACGCTTTGATAGAGGGACAAAACTATTTAAACTCTCTTTCAGACAGATGATCCAGCATTAAAGGAAGATGATATAACACGCTACGGTAGGCCATGCTTTGTGTTTGTCTTCAACGACGGATGGAGGTGCAGCGAGGTGACACAAACATCTGTCCTCATACTCATCTTTTTCTGAAGAAGAGCGTGCCGGAAATGACAAGTAGGTAAGAAGTGGCGCGTGCTTGCTGGAGAAAGCTGCTCGTGGCAAAGTGATGGACGTACGCGAGAACACGGCGTTATGCATGACTGCAGTCTCATCTAGAACCTCTTACACGACAAAGATGCATTGCAACGCTTACAACTGCTCTTTCTGTGTTGGATATGAATGGAGTACCAGACCTTTATGAGAGAAGAAACGACATGTCCACTGAAATGGAATTGAATTGCATCATTGACTTGAAATCATAGCCAATTTACCATCCTAGAGGCGATAAGGTCGAAGGCTGCAGTGATTTTATGAATGTCAGACTTGGAAGTTGAAACTCGTTGACCCTTCTTTGTGGTTTTGACACGACAATTACACTTATATTTCTATGTTCATATGTTCTTATCAAATCTAGCCATCTCAACCCACCAGGGATATGTTTTGATAACATATTGTCACGCTGTGACAGGTTGTACCTGTTAATTCAACGTGACAACGATGATCCGCTGTGGTCCTATCTTCAACCCTCCTCTACAGTACCCTGAAAAGCAAACCGACGGGGAAACAGATTCTGCTCGCATCTTAAGCGCACTTACAATTGTAATTGTGATTTGAAGTGACAACTGTTAACCCCAAACCTACACCGAAACAGCTATAATGGTGTCTGATTGGTTCGTCACGGATGTCCTGTGTGACAACGAGTGTCAATCAGGCGCGTGACAGGCTGTCGGTCACGTGATGTCACGTGGCACAAACTATGAACACTGTCGGATGCAAAGCATACAGGCGTGACTTGATACGTTTTTTATGTCGAAGTAGGGGTAAATAGCTGTTAATTTATAATTCGTTATGCAAAAGGGAAACCCACTGAACGTGTGACAAATACATGTAAGAATACTTCAACTGAATGTTATGACTGTCTTATGTATCACCGGCCAATGGTTTTTCATAGCTGAGTTTATATCTTATGTCTCAATAACATATTTTGTAAGAACAATGATGACACTGCCAGATTATTGAAAGTCTTGTATGGACTCACTATCCATATTGCTCAATATTATATTTTTGCTGATGATTTTATGGAGGTTTATATATTGTTGATTAATAAACTATTTTATATAATTAACTGGTTTGCATTATTTCATGACATGGAACATCTCTAGTCTTGACACCTCATATTCGGACGATTCCTTTTGTGGACTATATGATTACAGGGATATTTATGTAGGAATGATTCAGTTTTCCGGTCATTATTAAATCTGAATGATTCCTTAGAAACGGTACCGTCTGGATTAACGGGGTTTTACGATTTTACATTATTCTCTGAATTTACACAGGACATTTGTCGGGCTTGGTTGTTTTGTGCAATTTGACAAAACGGGTCTGCTAAACTGAATGCAACACTTGTACAGCTGACAATGACAGCTGGTACAGGACCGGCCCCACGGATACCGCGTTTCTTGAGGTCCCCCAGTCTCTATTACCTGTCGCGTAGAGCCGACATAATTGGATCGGAGGCACTGAGGTGGTTCTCAGAAATGTATGATCGTGGGTTCGAATTCTCGGATTAGGTTTCTAGGTTTGTCAGCACCGTAAACGTGCGTTTTATCAAAGCGGTGCATGTATAAGACCCACATCACGCTGTTAAGAGCATCATTAAACAAACCTCACTCACTCACTCACTTAGTGAAGCCGGTGGTAATACTTTATGATTCAGCTGATTGTGTAACATCGTACTCCGACGGCATGGGACGTTGCTCATAATATTAATCACTGGTTTGTGTGAGTGAGTGAGTGGGTGAGTGAGTGAGTGAGTGAGTGAGTGAGTGAGCCAAAGTTTAAAACACCTACGACCGAGCTAGTGGTCCCATCTTCAACATTCTGACACAGAAACATCCAGCAGTACATCCAGCGCAGAGTAGCCTACTAAACAAATACTAAATACTAAACATAAACTTCCCTCCGTACCAAGTCATTTTATTGGAAATGAGAAAATCATTCAGGCCTGGTCGAGATCCATCTTCACCATGACTACATGTGGCGAGACGGATGTACAGATATTTCTCATATGTGCAAAGGTCTTGTTTTTATAATATATTATGGTTTGCGGATTTTGTTTTTTACAATTCTAGTAGGTCTTGTGGTTGAAAAAAACCCCAACGAAAATAGAGTTTTCATTAAATATATTTTGTCGGTTATGTAACACAAAGAACATAAATTGTGAAACATTTTTTTCTCACAGTCAAGCTGTTATGTTCTTGCCATTTTTTGTCGTATCTCGTGATTTTTGTTTATTTGAAATTAGTTGATTGTCTCGGACGGAGGGGAAAAACTGTTTCAGAATATACCCAGAATATGAATTTATCAACATTTGTGAAGTTTTGGTCGGTATTATAGATATACTGTTTCATACCGTGATCTTGCATCATGACGTAATATGTATGGCATACTCACAAACGCGTTCATGAATATGCGTTTAGTATACCCCATGTATATGTCCGGTGACTCGTGGACACAGGTGGCCGAGACGTCTACGACGCGACAATTCGCCTTGCAGAATTGCGTCCCTTAGAAGCGTCAGTATCCTCTGATCTGAGATTATGATCCTTGGTTTGTCAGCTAAATATCCATGGACGTAGGTTTCACCAAAGTGCTTAACATTGCCGATCTGAGTCATTCACGGCTTCTTTCTGGCCAGCCTTGATACAACTGGAACTGTGTTTCAAACGGCGTCAAGCCGAATTACAGAGCAAAATATATGTTCATCAGACAATCGTCAGACAATCGTCACACAAGAAATGTGAAAATACCGAGTTTGCAAATAATAAGCTAATAAGTGCTTGGGGTTGTCATGAGCAGATCTCAGTAAGTACATATGTGGTGTTTGTAATAATTAGGCAGATGGGAGAAAAGTTGTATTCTTATGCTATGTTTGTTTGTTTGTTTGTTGTTTAACCCCTCACTCAGCAATATCCCAGCTATATAACGGCGGTCTGTAAATAATCGAGCCTTGACCACACAATCTAGTGATTGGCAGTATGAGCATCGATCCACGCAACTGGGATACGATGACATGCTTCAACCAAGTGAGCGAGTCTGGCCATCCGATCCCGTTAGTCGCCTCTTAAGACAAGCATAGTCGCCTTTTATGGCAAGCATGGGTTGTTTAAGACCTTTCCTACCCCGGATTCTTCACGGTCTCTAATGCTATGTACGATTGGGTGATCTATGTTGTTATTGTGTTAAACCTCTCTCTCTCTCTCTCTCTCTCTCTCTCTCTCTCTCTCTCTCTCTCTCTCTCTCTCTCTCTCTCTTCTTTCTCTTTTTCTCACTCTCTCCCCCCCCCCCCCCCCTCTCCGTCCGTCTCTCGGTCTTCCCTCTGTGTGTTCTGTTACACACACACACACACTCTCTCTCTCTCTCTCTCTCTCTCTCTCTCTCTCTCTCTCTCTCTCTCTCTCTCTCTCTCTCTCTCTCACTCTCTTTCTACCACCACAGCGTTATTGATCTGGCAGGTGCCTCAGCTGGCGCGTCGGTGGTACGCATGCGGAATCAATGACGGCTTCACAAGAAATAAAAATACGCTTTGGAAAGATTTGTCATATTAAATTTGACAAGAGGTAAGACCGATTGCGTTTTTAGTAAATAATATTTGAAGGCACGAAAACATACTGTAATACTGTTGGTACTCCACACAGCATATGACGTATACGTTTTTGTAATAAAAGTAAACTTTTTTTGAATATATTCAACGTTTTTAATGAAAATCTGTGAAATCATGATACACAGAAATTGTGCTGTGACGTAGATAGCAGGTGCCCGGCCCGAGTGTGCTGTTTCGTCCTTACCGCCCGTGGGGGAAACACCCTACGGTTAACTAATCTCGTCGACTTTCATCTGAACGTGAAAACGCGGTATTTATGCAAGTTTAGATATTAGTTTCATAAATATGTCATTTCGTTTCGTTTTCCTGATTGATAACGGCCGAGAACAATAGCCGACCAGTTTATTGGGCAAGATTATCTGTCGCACGTGCTAGACCAGCTTTGCCTCGAGGCTATCTTTTAACGGCGCGCGCAACACAACTTTGGGGGTTACCTGCAAAGAACAGAGGCAGGTTGACACAAGAGCATATGGGTTTACAACCCCAGCAGTAACACAAGGCAAAAAGTTAATTATGATCTTTTGGGTTTGACAGGTAATTTGTTTGGCAATACAACTATATTCTCAAATAGTAACCGCCATTTAATAAGATAAAATACAGATCAGGCCATTGATACCGCTGTTGCGAAAACTGTGAATAATTATGTGAATATTTTTGTAATATAGTAGTTTCCTGCTAACGTCCGTTATAAATTAGGTGTAACGTTATACAATGAGTGGTTTTCTGAAGCGCCGTCCCTTGCATCGTGGGCCTCCGTTAACCGAGAATGTCGTAAGAGGCGACTAACGGGACTTGGTTGATGCATGTCATCGTATCCCAATTGAGTGGTTCGATGCTCATGATGTCAATCACTTGACTGTCTGGTCCAGACGCGATTATTTACAGACCGCGGTCATATAGCTGACATATTGCCGAGTGCGGCGTTAAACAACATACAAACAAACAATAACCGAGAATGAACGATAGCGTCTATGTTGGCCATCCACGACTGTTGGGATAATTCTGATTTGCTGATACATTTGGTATAAACAACACTTGTTATTGTAGGGCAACTGATGTCTGTGCGGATGTCTAAATGAAGCATGTGCAGTCTACATCAGCCACTGAACTTGTAAATTTGATTCAATCAGAGATTTTACGGAACTTCATTAGCTACCATTGCGCCGTACAAGGTATGACGTGGTAACCTCAGTCGTTATTAAAGTACTTTTTTCTTCTCTTGTTTGTTCTTTAACGCCGCACTAAGCAATATCCCATCTATATGGCAGCGGTTTGCAAATAATCGAGTGTGGACCAGACAATCCAGTGATTAGCATCATAAACATCGATATACGTAATTGGGATGCAGTGATATTATGTAGTGCTAGATGTAGAAAATAAATGGACTTTTGACCCTCACTTTTGATTGTTTAAAGAAAGACAATGTTTATTTTGTTGATATAAACAACAACTTTCTTGGTATTTTGATCTTGTCTAAGCCGGATAAACATCTACAAAAAATACAAATTTACACGTAAACATGTTGTGAAATTGGACCCTGCGACGCGAAACATGAAACCCACCACACTGTTGTGAGATGTTTTCGTCGCCCAGTGATGCCTATTGTGTAACGCTGTTATTGTATATAGCCGCTGACAGGTGTGACGAAAGAGAGACGAGCGGTGTCAAATACTTAACGTGCTTGTGTATTTAAAAACATCCAGTACAATTATTTGTTTTCAATGATTAAATAGAAGTTATTACACCAAAACGCCATTAGCTGAAAAATACTTCGATCGACTGGAAGTGTGCGAGTGACCACGCACGGGGAATGACAACGGGAAACAGCGACCTGGCTACTTTTCGACCTTTGTCGAGTCCGGACTAAATATAAATATGAGGTCTTTGGTCATATGATCATTTAATATTTAAAATAAAAATGATGCTTTTTAATATTCTATACACATCTCATAGGTAGCAAGAGCACTATTTTTTTCAAATGATCCCCCTGTTATAAAATATTTGTCACACCGGCTCTTGTTATAATATGATTTGAACAATAGTTTAAATTAAAGTTAACAAATTGGGATATTTTACAGACGCATCATTAAGTGTATTAAAAATAAAAAGGAACATGTCTTCTGAAGTGACACTGTTTGTTTCTTGTTTAACGCCGCACTCAGCAATACTCCAGCTATATGATGGCAGTCTGTAAATAATCGAGTGTAAGAGATGACTTAATAGCTCAGGCAGTCTGGTTAACTTGGTCGATAGCATTGTTTGTTTCTTGTTTAACGCCGCACTCAGCAATATTCCAGCTATATGATGGCAGTCTGTAAATAATCGAGTGTAAGAGGTGACTTAATAGCTCAGGCAGTCTGGTTAACTTGGTCGATAGCATTGTTTGTTTGTTGTTTAACGCCGCACTCAGCAATATTCCAGCTATATGATGGCAGTCTGTTAATAATCGAGTGTAAGAGGTGACTTAATAGCTCAGGCAGTCTGGTTAACTTGGTTGATAGCATTGTTTGTTTGTTGTTTAACGCCGCACTCAGCAATATAGCTGATGGCAGTCTGTAAATAATTGAGTCTGGACCAGACAATCCAGTGATTGACATCATGAGCACTGATCCACGCAATTGGGATACGATGACATGTATCAACCAAGTCAGCGAGTCTGACCGCCCTATCCCGTTCGTCGCCTCTTACGACAAGCATAGTCGCCTTTTAGGGCAAGCATGGGTTGTTGAAGACCTATTTAACCCCGGATTTGATTTCCTGATATTTACGATATGGAAACACTCTCGGCCAATAGTCACTATTTATATGATTTTATATTAAAATATTTCGAGAAGAGGACATTCTTTGATATTTGACAATGGAATCTGGTATGCTATATAATACATGCAATAATGGTTTTGTATCAACTACCTTCATATGTGGAAGGATAATTCCATAACGAGAAATATATGAAGACTTGTCTGGCTACATCTATGGCCTACAATGTCTCAGAGAGTAGTTTCATTAAGGGATAATACCATAGGATATTACTATGGTAACGATATTACTATGGTAACTATTACCCGGTAACGTCAGCATATATTGTAAATAACCTCATAACCAATGTGTGAAGCCGTGATGTTGCTAGAATATTGTTATAAGAGGTGTTAAGTTATACTTGACTCATTCACCCATTTAAGAGAATTTACCAATCACTTATATTTTGTGCTGGAAGGAGTTTTATATGCTGAACTTGAAAACTCGGATCAGTGTAGGGTTTGGTTGTTACCCCCAGTACCAACATTTTCAAAGATGGTAATGCCAAAAGGTGTCACGGGTAGCCCAGTCGTCGGTGGCACTTCAATTCGCCGTGTAGAGTTGCGTCCCTTTGGTACACCAGGAGCCAATGATCGTGGGTTCGAATCCCTGTTCGTCCCGATTATGGTTCTAGGTTTGTCAGCATCATACCCGTGCCCGTAGCCGAACGTCTAATACGTGCATCACTTCGGGGTTCCTCCCACAGTAAGCTGACACGCCTTGACATCCCAGCTAACAGACTAATAGTCAGGGACTGTACACCCTTCAGGCATGTACTGCAGAAAACACAATACCAATGACCGACATGGTAATCCATGCCATGTCTTCAACATTCAGTCAACAAAGAACTTCAAGACTCAGTTCTGTGGGGATTATAATATTTTTAGAAAACTTTTACAACTTTCTAAATTATTGATTGTCAGAATCTTCTTTCTTTGGTTTTGCCTTGATCCACTTTTCTGCAACATAAAACAAATTCTGAATATATATATATATATGGAAACATAGAGACAGATAAATACTTGTAGTAACTATAATAGTATTACAGTATCATGCATCACACTGAATATAAAAGTGGTTCACCAGGAACACCCCAAAACTCTTAACGGTCAGTGGCTGAGTGCAGATACAAATCCAATTCTTAGCATTAATTTAAAGCACAAAACCATCAAAAGATACTTGATCTAGTTGCTCATGGTATTTAACAACAGTTTCTGCACTTACGTTTGCATCATTCACAGCCCCTGGTGTATTTGGTGTATTCCTCAATACACCTAACATTTCCGTGTGTAGCTCCTGGAATGCTGTTGTCCCTGGATGCAGCGAAAACAACAACGTTCCAAATTATAACAAAGTTATAACTTGAACTATATTCAATAAGCATCAATTGTTAATTCAAAGATGAATTTAAATAATCTTATACAGGTTCATAAGATTATTTTAATTCTAGAAACCCATTTGTCCAGGAACGCTCCAGGCTGTGGTCAGTCTCGGTCGGTAGTATTTGTCCATTTAAACTTTGCTGAATTCATAGGTACATGTTAAGGAAGAAAACAATTGCATCGAAAGCTCACAATTTAAACTCTGTCGCCCATGGGCCTGCCCATAGTGTGAGTGAGTGAGTTGGGTTTAACGCCGCTTTTAACAGTATTCCAGTTATATCACGGCGTGTCAGTGGGAGGAAAGCTCGAAGTGATGCAGGTCCCAGACGTTTACCACTTCGGTGAAACCCACGAGCACGGGTATGGTACTGACAAACCTAGAAACATAATCGGGGCGAACCGGGATTCGAACCCACAATCATAGGTTTCTGACGTGCCCAAGGGACGCAACTCTGCATAGCGTATCGCGGCGCCTAAGACGACTGGGCCACCCGTGCACATATGCACATAAAAGTTTTCACTTCGACCATTATGTATTGTGTAGGTTGGCGTCTGGTACACTTGTAACTTTAAAGGCTTTCAGGAATGTTATTGTCTAACCCCCTTAGCGACCGAGGCCCCACAAAAATCCGACAACTGGTAGTCGCGGGGCGCGTTGCAAGCCACGAATCACTTAGAGGAAGCAAATTAATTTTGCAACAGTTCGAAACGCATGCGCACTCTTCCAAAATGGCGGCGCAACTACCGCTTGGTTGCCTTGACGTAGAAGAACGGAATAAAAGAGGCTCGATGACGAGCTGATGAAATTTATGACTACTTTGAAGATGTGGAGCAGACTGGGGAGGATGGGGTGTTAGCTACCTTTAATCATTTCCTCGTTGATACAGTCAAGAATTTCTTGTTTCGCTGTCAAAGTCAGACGCCATTTTGGTTTGAGAACGAAGTGACCACAGCCAGCGATTGTTTCGCTTGCAAGCGTCTGAAAGTTAGCGCACTGCTGTAAGGCGAATCGCTGTACATCGCTTGCAAGCGATTCGCGCTTTGCAAAGCACCCAAGATCAAGTACTTTGTGTACCCCAGACAAGCGTAAATTGGCACGGCTCCAATGGCTGAAATATATGAATACACAATGCCATTTAGAAAGTGGTTAAAAATAACAAATGTTATATTTACACAATGCCATTAAGATACTGCTGAGATGAGCGGATACAGCTTTTGAAAATGCTCATCTCAAATTACCCCCTAAGAAATCAGAGTTCGACGATCCAGCTCTTGTTGCACAATGTCACTTGGATGTAGATTAAACCTGAACTGATGATGATCGGTGCATAATATGACGTAATAGTGTGACGTCATTCCGACGTCATTAAACGAGACAACAAGGCGTTTGGTCACAACATATTTTCCATAGAATTTAGTCTATAGATTAATCTGTAACTGTTGTGAAAATGTTCTATTACTGCATTACCAATCCACTGCATTATGAAAACGGAGTGTGCTAGCTGGGGAACTTGTGTTCAACTTTAGGTTGTTGGGGTTTTAATTGTTACTCACTTTAATACATGGTGATAACATTTCATGAAATAGTTTCTGGCATAACATTTCTGCAACGTGTTGTAAACATTGTAATAACATGTTATGAAATAGTTTCGCATATATTATGGCATGATGTTCTTCTAAAACATTTTAAAAACATTTCAATAACATTTTGAATTATTATAAAACACTTACACCTTATTCGGATGATTTTAGATATGTGTACACAATGTATTAAAACATGATGATAACATTTCATTAAATATATTCTGGCAAAACATTTCTGCAACGTGTTGAAAACATTGTAATAACATGTTATGAAAAAGTTTCGCATATGTTATAGCATGATGTTTTTGAATAACATTTTGAAAACATTTCAATATATAACATTTTGAATAGTTGTACAACATTTCTAAAACGTTAATAAAATGTTTTGACGAAAATGTTCTTGAAAAACTACGAAGACACATTTTGAAGATATTTTGAAAATGTTATGTGTTAGCTGGGATAACTGGAATAATGTTCAACGTGGCGTTAGACCCATTCACTCACTCATGCAAGGAGCAGGTTTCTGGTTTACACCGATACCAACACCAAACCATGTATGGACATCATACAGCCCTATGTTGAAATTGATTCCCGACTATTGTGTCTCCTATGACTCATTGGTTGATATCGTTTCACGTGCAGTTTTCGTGGTTCCTGTGTATTCGACTGTCTTCATGCGCAGGAATGACTCCGGGGACCTGACTGTTGCAAGTGTTGTTGATCACTGGCGTTAAAATCTCGCCTGGTGAGATATGTACATTCAATGCATAAGGCACGTCATGAATATTTTCCCAGCCAAAAGTCGACACACTATAGATGCGTGGATGTGTTAAACCATAGATGCACTCTGTGTCAATCCACATATGCCCACTATGTTATTGCATAGATGCACGCTGTGTCAATCCACATATGCCCACTATGTTATTGCATAGATGCACACTGTGTCAATCCACCTATACCTACATAGATGCACTCTGTGTCAATCCACCTATACCCACATAGATGCACTCTGTGTCGATCCACCTATGTACACTATGTCACTGCATATATGCACACTGTGTCGATCCACCTATACCAACATAGATGCACACTGTGTCGATCCACATATGCCCACTTTGTTATTGCATAGATGCACTCTGTGTCAATCCACCTATACCCACATAGATGCACTCTGTGTCGTTCCAGCTATACCCATATAGATGCACTCTGTATCGATCCACCTATACCCACTATGTTATTGCAAAAATGCACTCCGTGTCGATCCAGCTATGCACACTTTGTTATTGCATAGATGCACACTGTGTCAATCCACCTATGCACACTATGTAATTGCATAAATGCACACTGTGTCAATCCACCTATACCCACTGTTATTGCATAGATGCACTCTGTGTCGATCAACCTTTGCACACTTTGTAATTGCAAAGATGCACATTGTGTCAATCCACCTATACCCACGTAGATGCACTCTCTGTCGATCCACCAATGCACACTATGTTATTGCATAGATGCACACTGTGTCAATCCACCTATACCCACATAGATGCACTCTGTGTCGATCCACCTATGTACACTATGTTACTGTATATATGCACACTGTGTCAATCCACCTATGCACACTATGTTAATACATAGCTGCACACTATCAATCCAACTATATACATTTTATTCAGACGCATATACACACTGTGTCAATCCACCGATGCACACATAAATGCACACCGTGTCAATCCACCTATGCACACTATGCTAATACATTGCTGCACACTGTCAATTCGTCTATGTACAATATGTTACTGCATAGATGCACAATGTGTCAATCCACCTATGTACACTATGTTAATACATAGCTGCACACTATCAATACAACTATATACATTTTATTCAGACGCATATACACACTGTGTCAATCCACCGATGCACACATAAATGCACACCGTGTCTATCCACCTATGCACGGTTTGTTACAATATAGATGCACACCGTGTCTATCCATCTATACACGATTTGTTACAGTATAGATGCACACCGTGTCTATCCATCTATACACGGTTTGTTACAATATAGATGCACACCGTGTCTATCCATCTATACACGGTTTGTTACAATATAGATGCACACCGTGTCTATCCACCTATACACGGTTTGTTACAATATAGATGCACACCGTGTCTATCCACCTATGCACGGTTTGTTACAATATAGATGCACACCGTGTCTATCCACCTATACACGGTTTGTTACAATATAGATGCACACCGTGTCTATCCATCTATACACGGTTTGTTACAATATAGATGCACACCGTGTCTATCCATCTATACACGGTTTGTTACAATATAGATGCACACCGTGTCTATCCACCTATACACGGTTTGTTACAATATAGATGCACACCGTGTCTATCCACCTATGCACGGCTTGTTACAATATAGATGCACACCGTGTCTATCCACCTATACACGGTTTGTTACAATATATATGCACACCGTGTCTATCCACCTATACACGGTTTGTTACAATATAGATGCACACCGTGTCTATCCACCTATACACGGTTTGTTACAATATAGATGCACACCGTGTCTATCCACCTATACACGGTTTGTTACAATATAGATGCACACTGTGTCTATCCACCTATACACGGTTTGTTACAATATAGATGCACACCGTGTCTATCCACCTATACACGGTTTGTTACAATATAGATGCACACCGTGTCTATCCACCTATACACGGTTTGTTACAATATAGATGCACACTGTGTCCATCACCTAAAATGTATACACGGCTTGTTACAATATAGATGCACACTGTGTATATCCACCTATGCACGGTTTGTTACAATATAGATGCACACCGTGTCTATCCACCTATACACGGTTTGTTACAATGTAGATGCACACTGTGTCTATCCACCTATGCACGGTTTGTTACAATATAGATGCACACTGTGTCTATCCACCTATACACGGTTTGTTACAATATAGATGCACACCGTGTCTATCCACCTATACACGGTTTGTTACAATATAGATGCACACCGTGTCTATCCACCTATACACGGTTTGTTACAATATAGATGCACACTGTGTCTATCCACCTATACACGGTTTGTTACAATATAGATGCACACTGTGTCTATCCATCTATACACGGTTTGTTACAATATAGATGCACACCGTGTCTATCCACCTATACACGGTTTGTTACAATGTAGATGCACACTGTGTCTATCCACCTATGCACGGTTTGTTACAATATAGATGCACACCGTGTCTATCCACCTATACACGGTTTGTTACAATATAGATGCACACCGTGTCTATCCACCTATACACGGTTTGTTACAATATAGATGCACACCGTGTCTATCCACCTAAGCACGGTTTGTTACAATATAGATGCACACCGTGTCTATCCTATTATACACGGTTTGTTACAATATAGATGCACACCGTGTCTAACCACCTATACACGGTTTGTTACAATAAAGATGCACACCGTGTCCATCACCTAAAATGTACACACGGTTTGTTACAATATAGATGCACACCGTGTCTATCCACCTATACACGGTTTGTTACAATGTAGATGCACACTGTGTCTATCCACCTATGCACGGTTTGTTACAATATAGATGCACACCGTGTCTATCCACCTATACACGGTTTGTTACAATATAGATGCACACTGTGTCCATCACCTAAAATGTATACACGGTTTGTTACAATATAGATGCACACCGTGTCTATCCACCTATAGACGGTTTGTCACAATATAGATGCACACCGTGTCTATCCACCTATACACGGTTTGTTACAATATAGATGCACACTCTGTCTATCCACCTATGCACGGTTTGTTACAATATAGATGCACACTGTGTATATCCACCTAAGCACGGTTTGTTACAATATAGATGCACACTGTGTCTGTCCACCTATGCACGGTTTGTTACAATATAGATGCACACCGAGTCTATCCACCTATACACGGTTTGTTACAATATAGATGCACACTGTGTCTATCCTATTATACACGGTTTGTAACAATATAGATGCACACCGTGTCTATCCACCTATGCACGGTTTGTTACAATATAGATGCACACCGTGTCTATCCACCTATACACGGTTTGTTACAATGTAGATGCACACTCTGTCTATCCACCTATGCACGGTTTGTTACAATATAGATGCACACCGTGTCTATCCATCTATGCACGGTTTGTTACAATATAGATGCACACCGTGTCTATCCACCAATACACGGTTTGTTAAAATATATAGGCACACCGTGTCTATCCACCTATACACGGTTTGTTACAATATAGATGCACACCGTGTCTATCCACCTATACACGGTTTGTTACAATACAGATGCACAAGGTGTTTATCCATCTATACACGATTTGTTACAATATAGATGCACACTGTGTCCATCACCTAAAATGTATACACGGTTTGTTACAATAAAGATGCACACTGTGTATATCCACCTATGCACGGTTTGTTACAATATAGATGCACACCGTGTCTATCCATCTATACACGGTTTGTTACAATGTAGATGCACACTGTGTCTATCCACCTGTGCACGGTTTGTTACAATATAGATGCACACCGTGTCTATCCATCTATACACGGTTTGTTACAATGTAGATGCACACTGTGTCTATCCACCTGTGCACGGTTTGTTACAATATAGATGCACACCGTGTCTATCCACCTATGCACGGTTTGTTACAATATAGATGCACACCGTGTCTATCCTATTATACACGGCTTGTTACAGTATAGATGCACACCGTGTCTATCAACCTATACACGGTTTGTTACAATACAGATGCACACCGTGTCTATCCACCTATACACGGTTTGTTACAATATAGATGCACACTGTGTCCATCACCTAAAATGTATACACGGTTTGTTACAATATAGATGCACACTGTGTCTATCCACCTATACACGGTTTGTTACAATATAGATGCACACTGTGTCTATCCACCTATACACGGTTTGTTACAATATAGATGCACACCGTGTCCATCCACCTATACACGGTTTGTTACAATATAGATGCACACCGTGTCTATCCACCTATACACGGTTTGTTACAATATAGATGCACACCGTGTCCATCCACCTATACATGGTTTGTTACAATATAGATGCACACCGTGTCTATCCACCTATACACGGTTTGTTACAATATAGATGCACACTGTGTCCATCACCTAAAATGTATACACGGTTTGTTACAATATAGATGCACACCGTTTCTATCCACCTATACACGGTTTGTTACAATATAGATGCACACTGTGTCCATCACCTAAAATGTATACACGGTTTGTTACAATATAGATGCACACCGTGTCTATCCACCTATACACGGTTTGTTACAATATAGATGCACACCGTGTCTATCCACCTAAACACGGTTTGTTACAATATAGATGCACACCGTGTCTATCCACCTATGCACGGTTTGTTACAACATAGATGCACACCGTGTCTATCCACCTATACACGGTTTGTTACAATATAGATGCACACCGTGTCTATCCACCTATACACGGTTTGTTACAATATAGATGCACACCGTGTTTATCCACCTATACACGGTTTGTTACAATATAGATGCACACTGTGTCTATCCACCTATACACGGTTTGTTACAATATAGATGCACACCGTGTCTATCCACCTATACACGGTTTGTTACAATATAGATGCACACTGTGTCTATCCACCTATACACGGTTTGTTACAATATAGATGCACACCGTGTCTATCCACCTATACACGGTTTGTTACAATATAGATGCACACCGTGTCTATCCACCTATACACGGTTTGTTACAATATAGATGCACACTGTGTCTATCCACCTATACACGGTTTGTTACAATATAGATGCACACTGTGTCTATCCATCTATACACGGTTTGTTACAATATAGATGCACACCGTGTCTATCCACCTATACATGGTTTGTTACAATATAGATGCACACCGTGTCTATCCACCTATACACGGTTTGTTACAATATAGATGCACACTGTGTCTATTCACCTATACACGGTTTGTTACAATATAGATGCACACCGTGTCTATCCATCTATACACGGTTTGTTACAATATAGATGCACACCGTGTCTATCCACCTATACATGGTTTGTTACAATATAGATGCACACCGTGTCTATCCACCTATACACGGTTTGTTACAATATAGATGCACACCGTGTCTATCCACCTATACACGGTTTGTTACAATATAGATGCACACCGTGTCTATCCACCTATACACGGTTTGTTACAATATAGATGCACACCGTGTCCATCACCTTAAATGTATACACAGTTTGTTACAATATAGATGCACACTGTGTCTATTCACCTATACACGGTTTGTTACAATATAGATGCACACCGTGTCTATCCATCTATACACGGTTTGTTACAATATAGATGCACACCGTGTCTATCCACCTATACATGGTTTGTTACAATATAGATGCACACCGTGTCTATCCACCTATACACGGTTTGTTACAATATAGATGCACACCGTGTCTATCCACCTATACACGGTTTGTTACAATATAGATGCACACCGTGTCTATCCACCTATACACGGTTTGTTACAATATAGATGCACACCGTGTCCATCACCTTAAATGTATACACAGTTTGTTACAATATAGATGCACACCGTGTCTATCCACCTATGCACGGTTTGTTACAACATAGATGCACACCGTGTCTATCCACCTATACACGGTTTGTTACAATATAGATGCACACCGTGTCTATCCACCTATACACGGTTTGTTACAATATAGATGCACACCGTGTCCATCACCTTAAATGTATACACAGTTTGTTACAATATAGATGCACACCGTGTCTATCCACCTATGCACGGTTTGTTACAACATAGATGCACACCGTGTCTATCCACCTATACACGGTTTGTTACAATATAGATGCACACCGTGTCTATCCACCTGTGCCCGATATGTTAATACTCAGATGCACACTGTTCCAATCCAAGTATTCACAGTTTGTTAAAACATACATGCACTCTGTACCACAACATTAATATACGAATTTGTGCCATTGAGATGTTTCCCACCTCACGTTAACCTAACCTGTTCAATGTTGCAGGTTAGAAAATCAAACATTTGAATATGTTACCTAAAACCAGAAGCATGCTCGTGCTTGCAAATGTGACCAGTATTTACGGACAGTGAGCCAGTGAAATACAGGTCTGCCAACCGCCATTCAGTGTGCTGTACTCTCTACTGTGCCCTCATCTCTCAGCGACATCTCGTAGGGTGTGTAGAGTACTATGACTCAACACAAGTAGGCTGCTTGTGTATGCACAGAGCGCGGAGTTTGTAGGTGGTGGAATTTCTCCGTACTGCTTTGTCAACATTTGGTTGAAGTTGTCGGTGTTTTATACGGGTGAATCTTTAAGAAAGGCTACGTACATTGCAGGTATGTGTATTAATCTTTGTATATGCAAATAAATAAGCATTTATCATTTAATACAACCGTATAATTAGTTCATTATTAATGGTATGAAAATAATGATAGTAATATATTAAATGGCTATCTCAAATGTTGTGCGAGTTTGTTTGACTGATTTGCCTGTGTTTGACGTTTTATTCAGCTAGAGGTCTTGACAGTACGCTCTCTGAAGTCCAAGGATGCCTGTGAAAGGAAGGAACCAGGGTCAAGGGTAAATAGCCTAACACTATCTCTCATTAGAGCCGCTCAAAACCTTTCATTGAAAACGTTCCAACCTGTAAAATCCGGAATGATATTATCTAAACAATTAATACAATACATACACCAATTCTCATGTATCCCTGACCATCCCCTATAAAAGAACCCGAAAGAATCCAGTTTAATCCATGGCCAGTTGATCCAAGCATCTGCATTCATAAATGGTAATTGCAATTAGCAAGACATTTTACATTTTTTAAAAATAACTGTCTCTACACAAATGAATGGTGTCATGAACAATAGTTCAACCTTGAAAAGATATAGCTTTCCCAATTTTGGGTTTAATTTATGAACAAAGGATATGTATGTCAGATATTAAAAACTGGCTTTAAAATTGACACCCAGTGTGGATTCCGGGCTAAAACAGGCCAGTAACCTTCATGTACGCTTGTCGTAAGAGGTGACTGCCCTTTACGCCGAATGCAATCTGTTTCGGCGGATAATCAAGACTGGTTATTCTCTTGCATTGACATTATATATTTTTTGCATTGGGTGGTCCGTCTCATTGACTTGACTGATTGCGTGTCATCGTACTCCGATGGTGAAGATCGTTGTTCATTATATCAATCACTAGATAGCAAGGTTCAGGCTCGATAATTTACATTATGACGTCATATAGCTGGAATACTGTTGAGTCAAAAAAGTATAAATTGACAGTCCATAACAAGGTATTGTTAATTGCTAGATTGCTTTAGTGTTTATGATGTATATATCTGAAACGTTTGTTATTGTGTACATGCCCTGTTGTTGTGGTAGTCTAGCTATTAAGATGTTAACCTTTCTCTAGTTCTATTCCTCATATGTGTCAGCCTATTCATGGGTTCCCGAACAAAGTTAAAAAAATCTAAAATAAATAAATTGCATGTGATTCGAATTTTTGTGCATAAAGTTTCCTTTTTGTCACGCCCACTAGCGGTCTATTTTTTCTACATTGGCCGATAAAAGGAATGTGGGATTTGGGTTGTATTATTGCGCAGAACGATGTCACTGATTTAGTACTGTTGTCTGCAGTTTTTGTTGTTTCGGGTGAAAGTAGCAGTCTGTGAAGTAATTGTTGTTAACTTAATTATTTATAAGAATTTACTTAGAGTAGATAACAAAGCGCAGTTGCCCCATTGGATTGTAGGTTTCGATCCCGCTTCGCCAGAATTATGTTGCTAGGTTTGTCAGCATCATACTCGTGCCCGTGGGTTTCAGCAAAGTGGTAAACACCCGAGACCTGCATCACTTCAGGCTTTCCTCCCACATTATAATTATTCTGACACGCCGTGATGTGACTGGAATACTGTTCAAAGCGGCGTTAACTCACTCGCTCTCATATTGTAATGCCAGACATGTTTTATTACAAATCACAAATAAGATTATGAAAAGATAGATTTATATTATCTGGTATTTAATGCATTTTCAAGTTTAAAAGTAGGTCGAGTAAATAAATGTGTGTGAGGGTCAATATTTGTGAAAAGACTAAATGCGTCATACCCGGCGTTGTCAACAGGCCAGACCAGTCGGAGACATATTTGATGACAGCACTTTGGTAGCATGGCGAATTTGAAACCACAATGCTCTCACACTCATCACTTTTTACCATACACTAACACCAGATGATGACGTAAAGGTCTCGCCAATATAGGGGCGGTCGGGTAGCCTAGTGGTTAAAGCGTTCGCTCGTCACGCCTAAGACCCGAGTTCGATTCCTGACATGGGTACAATGTGTGAAGCCCATTTCTGGTGTCCCCCGCCGTGCTATTGCTGGAATATTGCTAAAAGCGGCGTAAAACCATACTCACTCACTCACTCGCCAATATACCTGCTATATAACATCACTGGGTATCTTATTCACAAATCCAGGCCAATCATACACGTCCCTAAGGTGATGCTGGACATTTTGTGAAAATAAAATGTACATGTCATGTCATGTACAGTATACTACGGTTATAACGAACTTTAGTGACTGCCAATCTTAGTTCGTTACAACCGAAGTTCATTATAAGCATATTTTCAGCATATATACAGCAAATGGCCGGGACATAAAAAACAATTCGTTATATCCCTCAGTTCGTTATAAGCGTGTTCGTTATAAACGTAATTTACTGTATTTTTAATAACGCGCATTAAAGAACACACGAGCAACTTCGTTGTTTTCGGACTAATATCCCTTTAATAATGTCGAACAATGTAGTGATTAAAACTGGGTTCGCTTTAACCAAATTTTCAATACAAACGACTTCGTTATTTCAACGACAAAGAATAATAAGGCTCTACTCGTACCATCTGCGGAAACAAATACTCATTGGGTGTAAAATGTCAAACAATGGTGACAATTATATGTCCTTAAACAGGTCCCTGAAATCAGTGATGACGTTAGGTGTTCGTGGACATGGACAATTATTTGTTGTCTGACGAACGTCATTCTCTGAGAACACTAACAAGTATGGACCTGCGTGCGATATGCACAATCAACATTTTCTAAAAATTATACATCTCCATTAATGGGTTATTCCAAAACATCGCAAATCGACCAACACATTCAAAGAGGAAGTAATACATTTGTTGTGGCCTTAAATACACAATTTCAACTTCAGGCTATGACATATCCAGATAGGAAACATGACAAGGTTATGTCCAAAAAATGGAATCCAAACATAGATATTACATTCTCAACACTAGACATTGAGTTTACCCTGATCTAACAGTTGCTTTATATATAGGCTGGGGTCGTAAAAAAGCAAACACTCGATGTTACTCACTCAATGGACAAATGTTTTTACAAAAAGTGAGAACTGAGAACTCACTGACTGATCTCGCGGAGTTGTGTATTGACACAATGGGCGTATCGGCGTAGCGCGAACCGGGATGTGGGTTAACGCTGCACTGTAAGCCCAAACGTCGCCACAGTTATAAATCTGACTAAAATGGTGACCCAGTCCTCTTTTCATCCGTGTTTCATATACAGAGAAGGAAGCCATAATGAAAGATTAATAGCATGCCAGAAAAATCCACTCTCCCCGACATCGGCCTTGAGCGTATAATGTAGATGCGGTTTTAAACAGGTTGTCAAATCGTGTTTGATGTGTGTGTTATGTAATCAACTGACGGAAATCATCATAGAGGGCTATTTTTGTAAAATGTCCCGCTGTAGTAAACGGCACGGCGATTACCTCCATGATTGTATGAAAGGGCCAGACAGGTCAATAATGGAATGCATGAAACACATTTGGAGCTCGTATTGAGACAAATTAGTCCTATAAAAAGGAAGAGACCTTTAGGTCATATTTGAGAAACAAACAGCTCTAAGCACTCTCCTGGATGTTGAGTAGTGAAAAAGTCAAACTCCGGGTATGACGAACTTCGTTTTATCCGAAGTTCACAATTCTCATAAAAAAACCTTGATTACCCACTGATAAATCGAATTGTATTCGCAATAACTTAAATGTATCATTCGTGATATACGTAGTTGCCTGTAGTTGTGAAGTGTTCTACAACTCTGACGCTGTAGTGAGAGATCCTGTTTGACATTTGATTCACGGCTCAAATGATGGCTGCGTATTTGTTCACAGTCAGGGAGAGGCCTGTGACCAGAATGCTGATTCAGCGAAACATGTAACAACAACCCGCTGACAGACTGATACATCTGAGCGGTAGATGACAACGCTCGTGTACCGCCATGTTGTGCACCTGATACAGGGTGTCTGTTACAAAGTGTACCAGTAAACACATCTGACATACAAATACAATTTTCAACCTTCATATCCCGACGTGTCAGCAACGTGGCATATACAGCTGTCAAAACAGGAAGTCCTCCATTCAAATATACCTCGAATTATCATTGTTCGAGATAAGAGTGGAGCGATAACTCGATATTAGACCGATCTATAGGCAGGATCATAAAGTGATCGAGTAAAACGATGCATCGTGTTATCAGGGTTCGCGTTAACGAGGCGTGGGTACATACTCACACAAAACACACATATTATGAAAGTTAACCTCGTTATGGATCAACCATTTTATTAGAATGCTGAAGGGATCGGTATCTTTTCTTGAATTATGCATTTGTAATAATGAGTGAGTGAGTGAGTTGGGTTTAACGCCGCTTTTAACAGTATTACATTTATATCACGGCGTGTCAGCTTAATGTGGGAGGAAAGCCGGAAATGATGCAGGTCTCAGTCGTTTACCACTTTGGTGAAACCCACGAGCACGGGTATGGTGCTGACAAATCTAGAAACATAATGTGGATGAACCGGGATTCGAACCCACGATCATAGGTTTCTGGCGTGTCAAAGGGACGCAACTCTGCACAGCGAATTGCGGCGCCTTAGACGACTGGGTCACCCGCACCCCTTGAAATAAGGATGAATATACAGTCTGATCTTATGAGCCTAAAATATTGTGCAGGTGCATGTGCTCCATTGGCATGGTGAGTGAGTTGGGTTTAACGCCGCATTTAACAGTGTTTCAGTTATATATGTGCGTGTCAGCTTAATGTGGGAGGAAAGCCCGAAGTGATGCAGGTCTCAGACGTTTACCACTTCGGTGAAACCCACGAACAGGGGCATGGTGCTGACAAACCTAGAAACATAATCGGGGCGAACCGGGATTCGAACCCACAATCATAGGTTTCTGGCGTGCCCAAGGGACACAACTCTGCACAGCGAATCGGGCGCCTAAGACGACTGGACCATCCGTGCTCCATGGCATGGTGAGAGTTATTTCACGTGAGGATTTTGTTAATATGAAATTTTGCATTTACAGGAACGTGGCTTGCACACCCGCCCGGTTCTTTATAAACGGCAAGCAGCATACAGGTAGGTGTTGTTACGGACAAGCATCATTCGTATTTCAACATTTTTATCATTTAAAGTGTGTAGTATTCATTTCTGTTGCCTGACGCGCATATTCCCTACTCTCCAGTCCACGGCGAATATGACCCGACTACGTCCCTTAACGACTACATCCGGGACACTGCAGGTCTACGGGGTACAAAGGTCATGTGTCGAGAAGGAGGCTGTGGGTGCTGTGCTGTCATGGTAACGCAGAAAGACGTCGCCAGTGGACAGGACTCAAGTTTCTCCATCAACTCAGTAAGATGCTTAACACGCCTTATGGCTGGAGCTTAGGTGGAGGGGTGGTAGATAGGGTGCAGCTAAGCTGTGTCAGGTGAAAGAGTGTCCTAGTGAGAGCGGACAATCTTTGAGTTCTTGGGTTTTGTTTTTACCAAATCGTGCACTCTAAGCCCATGGCTGTCCCTCCCTACCCAACCCCTACAGTTAATATCAAAATGACAAAACGCCGGTAAAACCTTACGAATATCCACCAAGAACTAGTCTCAGATGATTACAATTTAAGTTAGTGACAGGAATATCCACTAAGAACAATACTCAGATGATTACAATTTAAGTTAGTGTAAGGAATATCCACTAAGAACTATTCTCAGATGATTACAATATTAAGTTAGTGTAAGGAAATAGCATCCCAAATTTATTGAGGTGTATCAAAATTACGCATTAAAATCTTTTGCATTTGCTCATTTAACTTTAATCCTTAATGGGTGTGTACTTGTATAATGTGTTATGTGTCTGCTGTGTCTCTTTCCTGTACATGTGAAATGTGTCTGCAGTGCCTGTGCCCTGTACATGTGAAATGTGTCTGCAGTGCCTGTGGTCTGTACATGTGAAATGTGTCTGCAGTGCCTGTGGTCTGTACATATGTTATGCGTCTGGAGTGCCTATGGTCTGTACCTGTGTTTTGTGCCTGCAGTGCCTGTGGTATGTACATGTGTTATATGTCTGTAGTGCCTGTGCCCTGTACATGTGAAATGTGTCTGTAGTGCCTGTGGTCTGTACCTGTGTTTTGTGTCTGCAGTGCCTATGGTCTGTACATGTGTTTTGTGTCTGCAGTGCCTATGATCTGTACCTGTGTTTTGTTCCTGCAGTGCCTATGGTCTGTACATGTGAAATGTGTCTGTAGTGCCTGTGGTCGGTACCTGTGTTTTGTGTCTGCAGTGCCTGTGGTCTGTACATATGTTATGTGTCTGTAGTGCCTGTGGTCTGTACCTGTGTTTTGTATCTGTAGTGCCTGTGCCCTGTACATGTGTTATGTGTCTGCAGTGCCTATGCCCCCTGGGAATATGTTATGCGTCTGCGGTGCCTGTGGTCTGTACATATGTTATGTGTCCGCAGTGCCTATGGTCTATACCTGTGTTTTGTGTCTGTATTGCCTGTGTCCCCTGTACATGTGTTATGTGTCTGCAGTGCCTATGCCCCCTGGAAATATGTTATGCGTCTGCGGTGCCTGTTGTCTGTACATATGTTTTGTGTCTGCAGTGCCTATAGTCTGTACCTGTGTTTTGTGTCTGCAGTGCCTTTGGTCTGTACATGTGTTTTGTGTCTGCAGTGCCTATGGTCTGTACATGTGTTTTGTGCCTGCAGTGTCTATGGTCTGTACATGTGAAATGTGTCTGCAGTGCCTGTGGTATGTACATGTGTTATATGTCTGTAGTGCCTGTGCCCTGTACATGTGTTATGTGTCTGGAGTGCCTATGGTCTGTACCTGTGTTTTGTGCCTGCAGTGCCTGTGGTCTGTACCTTTGTTTTGTGCCTGCAGTGCCTGTGTCCCCTGTACCTTTGTTTTGTGCCTGCAGTGCCTGTGGTCTGTACTTGTGTTTTGTGCCTGCAGTGCCTGTGGTCTGTACCTGTGTTTTGTGCCTGCAGTGCCTGTGTCCCCTGTACATGTGTTTTGTGCCTGCAGTGCCTATGTCCCCTGTACATGTGTTATGTGTCTGCAGTGCCTATGGTCTGTACCTGTGTTTTGTGCCTGCAGTGCCTGTGGTCTGTACCTTTGTTTTGTGCCTGCAGTGCCTGTGGTCTGTACCTGTGTTTTGTGCCTGCAGTGCCTATGGTCTGTACCTGTGTTTTGTGTCTGCAGTGCCTATGGTCTGTACCTGTGTTTTGTGCCTGCAGTGCATGTGTCCCCTGTACATGTGTTTTGTGCCTGCAGTGCCTATGTCCCCTGTATATGTGTTATGTGTCTGCAGTGCCTATGGTCTGTACCTGTGTTTTGTGCCTGCAGTGCATGTGCCCTGTACCTGTGTTATGTGTCTGCAGTGCCTATGGTCTGTACATGTGTTATGTGTCTTGAGTGTCTGTGGTCTGTACCTGTGTTTTGTGCCTGCAGTGCCTGTGTCCCCTGTACCTGTGTTTTGTGTCTGCACTGCCTGTGGTCTGTACCTGTGTTTTGTGCCTGCAGTGCCTGTGTCCCCTGTGTTTTGTGTCTGTAGTGCCTGTGGTCTGTACCTGTGTTATGTGCCTGCAGTGCCAATGGTCTATACCTGTGTTTTGTGCCTGCAGTGCCTGTGTCCCCTGTACCTGTGTTATATGTCTGTAGTGCCTGTGGTCTGTACCTGTGTTTTGTGCCTGCAGTGCCTGTGTCCCCTCTACCTGTGTTTTGTGTCTGTAGTGCCTGTGGTCTGTACCTGTGTTATGCGCCTGCAGTGCCAATGGTCTATACCTGTGTTTTGTGCCTGCAGTGCCTGTGTCCCCTGTACAGTGTAGACGGGTGGCAGATCACCACGGTGGAAGGTATCGGCAACAGGAAAGATGGCTACCACCCCATACAGGACAGGATCGCCAAGTTCAATGGATCCCAATGCGGGTACTGTACCCCGGGGATGGTCATGAACATGTACGGGTAAGTGGAACGTTACAACGCAGGACCAAATATGTCTGCTACATGGACACAGTCCATTCAGTCTAATTAGCAAAGCATAACATGAGATAATGGAAAACTCACACCACAGAAAATCTCTGACGGTGAGATATGAAATTCAAATTGAAATCAAAGGGAGATTTGAAAGCGGGTTTCGATTATCTAATAGGCTCAGGTCATCGGTGTCTAGGTGGTGTCCTTGTAGTATCCGATGGTGTCTTGATGGTCTCGTGGGGGTGTCTGATTGTGTATGGATGGTGTCCGTGTGGTTTCAAGTGGTGTGTGGTTGGTGTCCATATAGTATCAGGTGGTGTCAAGATGGTCTCGTGGGGTTAACCGATGGTGTCTGGAGGATTTTCTGGTGGTATTCGTTGGTGATTAGATTGTGTCCGTGTGGTATTCGTTGGTGTCTGGATGGTCTTCTGGTGGTATCCAATGGTGTCTGGATGGTGTCCGTGTAGTATCAGGTGGTGTCTGGGTGGTGTCCTTGTGGTATCCAATGGTGTCTGGATGGTGTCCGTGTAGTATCCGATGGTGTCTGGATTGTGTGCTCGTGGTATCCAATGGTGTCTGGATGGTGTCCGTGTAGTATCTGGTGGTGTCTGGATGGTGTCCTTGTGGTATCCAATGGTGTCTGGATGGTGTCCGTGTAGTATCAGGGGGTGTCTTGATGGTGTCCTCGTGGTATCCAATGGTATCTGGATGGTGTCCGTGTAGTATCTGGTGGTGTCTGGATGGTGTCCTGGTGGTATCCGATTATCCGATTGTGTCTTGATGGTGTCCTTGTGGTATCCAAGGGTGTCTGGATGGTGTCCTTGTGGTATCCAAGGGTGTCTTGATGGTGTCCTGGTGGTATCCAGTAGTGTCTGGATGGTCTCCTGGTGGTATCCGATGGTGTCTGCGTGGTCTCCGTTGGCATTTGGGTAATTGTGACTGGATTCCGTTCGGGGATCTGGGGTCTTGATGGTATCAGAGTGCTGTTTAAAGTGTATTCGGCAAGGAACACATTGAGTCGATGGTGTCTGGAAGGCTTTCAGATCGTAAAGGAACTTTGTGTGAACCGTTTAAGGCGTTCAGGTCGTATCCAAGTAGTATCCATGCTGGAAACATTTGCGGAAGCAGGGGAGGAAATACTGTAACTGATGTGTGCCAACCCCTGTCTGTACCAGGCTGCTGCACGACAACCCCACCCCCACCCAGCAGAACGTCGAGGACAAGTTTGACGGCAACATCTGCCGCTGTACAGGTTACAGACCCATCCTGGACGCCATGAAGTCCTTCGCTGTTGACTCCTCCATCCCGCAATCCCAGTGTATTGACATAGAGGTGAGAGAATCTGTATCTGCAGCTTGACGATCAAACACAGGAGGGGCGGTCGGGTAGCCTAGTGGTTAAAGCTTTCGCTCGTCATGCCGAAGACCCGGGTTCGATTCCCAAAAGGGTACAATGTTTGAAACCCATTTCTGGTGTCCCCCGCCGTGATATTGCTTGAATATTGCTAAAAGCGGCGTAAAACCATACTCACTCACTCAAACACTTGAACCACAAGGCGACAAGGCGAACCCCGTGGTTTTCGCTATCAAGCATTACCCGCCCTTGATTTGTATTTAATTTAACATTTTACCGACCAATCAAAGGAATTTCATTTTTTTTAATGGATAAGGGAAGACTTGTCTCCGCCAGTTTTAAAAAAAAACATGAAGAAATCCATTCCATGAAAATTTTTTAATGTTGATTTTCTCTCAAACTCAACAGTAGTCGTTGGGACTGGCCGCCCTGTTGTTGATATCGCCAACCAAACATTTGAGGCTTTTTTGAAACTCTTATTCCGATTGGTCCATTTGACTGAGTAGCGCTTCAAATCAAATTGGCTAATGAAAATCTAGGGCGGATAATTTGAGATCGCGAGAACCACGTGAATGGATCCAGGTTTTGTGTAGGTTCACTGACATGAGAGCCCTGGAGATAACGGTATAGTCTACACCACAGACTACCGACAGCAGGAGTCATTCATTTGCCGCAAAAACTTTCATTTAGTGATGAAAATGAGACTTAAAATTATACAATTATGTTTTTGTCCATGGCCAATAATTATTTCAGGATTTGAACAAGAAGCTGTGTCCTCGCACTGGCATGGAGTGCGGCGCGGATGGACTGCGGTTGTGTTTGGGCGAGCAGTCTTGGTACAGGCCAGAAACACTGAAGGCTATGGCCGGCATCGTGATGGAGAACCAGGGAAAGAAGGTCCGCCTGTTGTACGGCAATACTGCGTCAGGTAGCGAGATACAGATTATAGTCCCAAGTTTATATAGCGAGAAAAGCCGAGTGGATCCGAGTGGAATATATACTTCATATGAATCCCCTTTCTCTCACCTATAGTGTTTCATATGCGTCCGGGTAAGGAATTCCGGATTAACGTATAATGAGTGAGTGTGTGAGTTGGGTTTAACGCCGTTTTTAACAGTATTCCAGTTATATCACGGCGTGGCAGCTTAATGTTGTAAGAAAGCCCGAAGTGATGTAGGTCTCAGACGTTTACTACTTTGGCGAAACCCACGAACACGGTTATGGTGCTGACAAACCTAGAAACATAATCGGGGCGAACCGGGATTCGAACCCACAATCATAAATTTCTGGCGTGCCCAAGCGATGCAACTCTGCCCAGCGAATTGCGATGGCTTAGACGACTGGGCCACCCGCGCACCATTGTTATGTACCCTGGTATTCAGACGCACTTTTTAAAGAGATCTATTAACAGCATTATTAACAATGACATCACCGTAGATCGATAATCGCACTGCCATAGCGCGTACATAGAATAAACAGTTTAAAGGATGAGACAAGGGGGCACAAGACGTCGCTTCACCTTGTTTTATGTTCAGTTGGGGCACGTGTGGCCCAGTCGTCGAAGGCACCGCAATTCGCTGTGCAGAGTTGCGTCCCTTGGGCTCGCCAGAAACCTGTGATTGTGGGTTCGAATCCCGGTTCGCCCCGATTATGTTTCTAGGTTTGTCAGCACCATACCCGTGCTCGTGGGTTTCAGCGAAGTGGTAAACGTCCCAGACCTGAATTACTTCGGGCTTTCCTCCCACATTAAGCTGACACGCCGTGATATGTAAGTGGAGTACATATATAGTAAATGAGTAACATTTATAAACTAGAATAACAAAGCATAACGATGTTTTACCTTTTTGCATTGCATTGCATTGCATAATAATGATAATATAACGATGATGAAGATGAGTGAGTATGGTTTTACGACGCTAATAGCAATAAACCCACAATAATTTCACGGCGGGGAACACCAGAAATGGGCTTCCCACATTGTACCTATATGGGGAATTGAACCCGGGTCTTCGGCGTGACGAATGAACGCTGTAACCACTTAGATACCCCACCGGCCCTGATGATGATGATGATGATGATGATGATGATGATGGTGATGATATGTGTACTCTGTTCTAGGTGTATACAAGGATGACGGACCTTTCAGTGTGTACATTGACCTGCATCACATCAAGGACCTGTACCAGATCCAGGTACATGCCCTTCGTTACGTCGTCTGTACATCCTTGTTTTACCACCTGCTCTTCACAGATGATTACTCATCACATAAACAGGAAGTCTCGTCTTTCAATGACGTCAGATCTTACAGGTCGGCGTACACAAACCCAGACGGTTTACGCATGATCAGGGCTGACTTGCACAAAGCGATCTTAGCACTACGACTATTGTAAGCCTATGTTAAAGTATGGGAGTTACATATCATACATATCTTTACATATCAGGAAAGCGATCGGCGGTTGTCGAAGCTTGTTGTGAAGCTATCACAAAGGTGCTGGGTCTAATGCAGGGATGTTATTGTTTTCCAAGTGGTATATTGCATCCACAACCTGTTGGTAGTGGCCTTGGACACATTCAGGGCCCTAGTCACACCTTGCTGGATCAGCCCTGCCTCACACGCCAGATGTCATTCTGATGTTAGTCATTTTCAACCTGACCGGTGTAGGAATTCTTGGCGTGACTCGGGTGGACATCCTGTCATGTTTATAGCCCAACCTCAGCAGAGGGACACACGTGAAAGACCACCACCACAGAACATGCAATACCTTTAAACGTCAAACGTTATATAGGGTTGTGTTTTGGCGATTTGCTGGCCATATATCCGTTGAATACAGGCTCGCTGTCGGTTCTGCACTATATTTTTTATAAATTTCCAGTATACCGTACCTATATTTTGAAGATTATGAATGATCTTTGTACCGTGTGCTACTTGTCTTCTCCCGACTCAACCATCTCCCCGAGGCCAGGGCGTTAACTGACTAAAAATGTCAAGTTCCTACCCTTGCCGAACTAGGCTGGAATTTCCAGGCTCGATTGTAGCGCCTCCAATGGCTATTACGAGTCATGACCCTTCCATGTCCCTCCTATTGACCAATCAGATTCCATCTCTTATATCACTTGTACTTGCTACAAACAAAATAGCGGCGCCCAGTCAAGACGATCTGATCGATAGTCATTATATTGTAATAAAATGGGTCTTACCCCGCGAAGTGCATAAAATCACTTGAGCACCTTTATTAAAAACATGAAAAGATTTGAAATCCATGTTGTTTACGAACCGGATGTCTAGTTCGTTACACGGTTCATCATTCAAGCCAAAATGTAACTCCGGAATTCCAGGCTAGTTCGGCAAGGGTGGAAACTGGACTTTTATTGTCAGTTAACGCCCTTGCCTCGGGAAGATGGACAAGCATACATCATATTTACACATTACTATTGTGTTCACTGCTATAAATGAGACGGGAGCCAGACGGAAGCCATTCGATCACTGTAATATTCGAGGTGACGTGAGGTGAAATTGGGTTTAACGTCGCGTCAAAGATTATTGCACTTATATAGCGACGTGCATGCACGTGTGTGTGTGTGGCTGCTTGTACTAGTCCGGGCTGATGCCGATTTAAAGTGCTAGCTCACTGAGATACCATGCCGCAGTTGAACATGAATACCCCACTCAAACAGTATACTGACTCCGAACCGTCCAGTCCTTGTTTTTAGCCCCTTAATGCCGAGCGCCAGACAGGGTAACAACAAGTACCATCTTTTAACGTCTTTTGATATTGACGCGGCCGTGGATCGAACCCCGGACCTTCCGCTCTCCGGGCGGGCGCTCTACCACTAGACCACAGAGGCGGTCCTGTAATATTAGAGGTACTGTTTCCTTACAGGTTACAGACACCAGCATGCAGTTCGGCGCCAACATGTCCCTCTCCAAGCTGATCGACACACTCGACCTCAAGAAGTCGGAGAAGGGGTACGCCTACTTCGGCGCTATTGCCAGTCATCTGAGGAAGATAGGAAATGTACTCCTTAGAAATGTAAGTCTCATTTAAGGTTAGTTTAACTCTGCTTAGAGCCGTATTTCAGGTACATCTCTGTATGTCAGCTTCATATGGGAGGGACGTTTACCACTTTAGTGTAAATAAAACGACAAAACCCCTTCCATATCCAATAGAAATTTCATATAAGCTACTGACAAACCTGGAAAAAATTTCAGGGCGAAATTGGGTTTCGAACCCACGATCGTAGGTTTCTGTCACCCAATTGGGCGCAACTCTGAACAACAATTGCGTCGCCTTAAATGACGGGGCCACTCGTGCCTCCAGTAACATAAATAAAACTTTGACAAATATAACGGTTGAAAATATGTAAAATATAACCAACGCCACAGTAACAAATGTTATATTCGGATAACACTTTCTTAGTAAAGTAGAGAGTCTAGTATTTTTTTAGGCTTCCACAAAAATGAAAGGCGATTATGTGCCTCACTCTGGCAGTGTGGGTTCGAATCCCGAATTGGACTCTACCCAAAAATGTACTACAATCTGTACTTCACTGAGATAGTGTTATCCCAAATAGAACATTTGTTACATTTGACCACTTTCTAAATGTCACTGTGTATTCATAGCTTTCGGCAATGGCAGCCGTGCCCATTTACACTTGTCAGAGGGGAACAAAAATTACGTGATCTAGACTTACTAAATGACATTGCGTATTCACAACCCCACAGTGACCAGATAAGTTTATAATTTACAAGAAGAAGCCACGTTAACACGAACGTAATTATCTGATACATTGTCCGGGATGAGAAGCCCATTCCTGGTGTAGATCGCCGTGATATGAGTGGAATATTGTATAAAAACGGACTTAAACAATACTCACTTATTAAATTTCGAATTCCAACAGCCTTTATCGTCCGAACAAAAAGAATGTGATGTAATAGTGAATCAATGAGTGTGTGAGTGAGTGAGTATGATTTTGCGCCATTTTAGTAATAGTCAAGCCATACCAAGACGGAAGGACACGGGAACCAAATGTGGCTAACGATATCGAAATTTCATTTTTTTAGATACTATGAATGAATGTTATTAAGTATAATGTACATGTCGTTTTATGTGATGCTGCAGGCCGGCTCCTGGGCCGGTAACGTCATGATCAAACACGCCCACCCCGACTTTCCGTCCGACGTCTTCACCGTCATGGAGGCCGCCGGGGCTCACATCGCTGTTGTTGGTAAGTTCCGGGGCTGTAGCGCTGTTGTCTGGGTTGTGTTGCTGTTGTCTGGGTTGTGTTGCTGTTGTCTGGGTTGTGTTGCTGTTGTCTGGGTTGGGTTGCTATTGTCGGTAGGTTCTGGCGTAATATCGTTGTTGTCGGTAAATTGCAGGGTTGAATCACTGTTGTACGACCAACAGAGGTTGCTTGGAACTAATTCTAGTCCGGATGCGCCTGGAAATCCCCACAAAAAGGAATTCAATGCGCCAACACGCCAATTTGAATATCTATTCATAAGACGCAAGGTGAAATCTGACCCCTGTATGTTGTTTCACAGACTGCGCGGACGGTGTGGTCAAGTCCTACCCGCTCCTGTCACTCATCACGGAAATCGACATGAAGATCAAGCTCATCGTGTCGCTGGAACTTTTTAAACAGGACGAGAAGTTCAAACTGATATCATACAAGATCATGCCAAGATCCCAGGTATGGCATCAGAAACGCACCCACAAACACACACACACATACAAACTCACCACACACACGGGCACACACACGGGCACACACACACACACACACACACACACACACACACACACACACACACACACACACACACACACACACACACACACACACACACACACACACACACACACATATTTGAAGATAACGTTTAATGTTACAGAACGCCCACGCCTATGTCAATGCAGGATTCCAGATCCATGTGGATGCGTGGAAATTCAAAGTTGTCAAGAAACCGTCTCTTGTGTTCGGGGGCATAAACCGGGATCTGGTAGGTGCTATCTCATCCACGTCTATCCAGGTGCTTGTCGTCAATCTATGGTGATTAATACTATTGACCTATACGCCACCAAAGCTGGGTCACCATAACAATCTCAAGTAATGTAACTTCTCACAAATTTTCTCTCGGTCAAGAATTGAATTTGATTGGTCGTCTATTTTTAGCATCATATCATTTGAAGCGGACTCAAAGCGAAGCGAATTGGAGACTCGAGATTGAATACTCTGGATTATCGGGGATGGTCTTAAGTCAGAAACACAAGCTCATGACAGCAATCAAATAATAGGAATGAAAAGAATATTTTGAACTTTATCCCTTGCGCATCCCTCGTTTATATAAAAAGAAATTACAGTACAGCCAAATCTGTAAAAACATGACGCTGTCTAATCCGGATTTCCGTCAAGAACAGACCAATGTACATTCCCGAATTTACTACGATGAATAGACTGTTCCAATCATATCTATATTATCCATTTCTCTAACTCCTACTATATTCTCCCTAATCCGGATGTTGTCTGCATCGGACATATTTTCGGTCCACGGAAGTCAGCTCAGACAGAACCCGCTGTTAAAAATTATAATTTCATTTTACTTAAAGATCCACGCTTACAAGACGGAGGCACTGTTGAACGGCAAGACGCTGACAGATGGGGTCGTGTTGAGAAGTAGGTCATTGGGGTTATTCTCAGCCACACACAAAAATGTTCTGCTAAAACTATTAACAATAGTTACATTTCATGCACATGAGGGTATTAACTCTTTTTGAGTAGTATACGAACTGGAATATGACCCGTTAGGGTAGAATGATCGTGTGTAATAACTTTTCGATATTTACACATTATCGTCTGAGCAAGCAGCTTTGGAGCAGGAGTCGTATGTCTTACTGTGACATACTTCGTAGAAATAGCAGGCTTTATCGTACCTCAAAAGTTGTTTCAAAGTTTTAGGTTAATAGGTTGACCAAAGCAGACATATTAATGGTTTATGTCTTATGACACGAATTTATTTTGACCATGTTCGTGGTAATATTTAACACATGGATAAATCATAAACCACCCTGGTTGTACATTGTATGTCTGTCGCTGTTTCTTCTAACCCAGCTTCTGTCCGTACTACAGGTGCTCTGGACTGTCTCGCTTCTGAGTTGGAACCCACTGCCGACCGTGTGCTAGCCAGTGCTCAGTACCGTCGGAGCCTCGCTGTTAACCTCCTCTATAAGGTAAGTGATTGACTGGTGGATACATGTGTGCGTGGGTATGTAGGTGGGCGCATGCGTGGGTGGGTGTGTGCGTGCGTGCGTGCGTGCGTGGGAGTCTAGGTAGGTGCGTGCGTGCGTGGGGGTCTAGGTGGGTGCGTGCGTGCGTGCGTGCGTGCGTGCGTGCGTACGTGGGTATGTGGTTGGTTGGTTAGGCTTTCACGGCGTTTTTAGGAACATCACGGCGGGGGACACGAAGAACAGGAATCGCCCCCTGTCTTTTCAATGAAGAGCCAAAGTTTTAACCACTAGGTTACCCATGCCCTTTTCTATAGAACACGGAAGTCCTGGCATTGAAGATAATATTTTTCCTAATGCATAACCACAAGCGTGACAGTTGCATATCCCGAAAGTTTCTGTTTGAGAAACACGTTGCTATTTTCCGAAGGTGAAATTATAAAACCTGTCACATCAATTAGATTTAACATTTCCCATGCATGTGCAATGTAGCCGGTTTCTTCCTGCAATGGTGAACGCAGGTGACCCAGCGGCCAAGAGCACGTCCTCAGCCGTATCAGGATCAGCTGATATAGGGGTCAAATCCCATATCTTTTGGTTTGTCAGCACCTTACCCTTGCTTCGTTGGTTTCACCAAGGGAATCCAACGTTTGAAATCCCCGTTGCGCTGTCAAACATATCATTCATACATAAAGAGGGATATTTGACAGTAAAACAACACATCTTTCATTATTTTAATAATAATTCCCTAGTCACCTGTAAGCGACCTACACCATTTCTGGATATCTCCATCCGCCAAGCAGACATACCGTGATATAAATGAGATTCTGTTCTGAGTGGCGTTATACACCATTCAATCACTCGCTCCTTTCTTGCAGTGTATCTTGGAGCTGTGTGGAGCTAAACATCAGACAAGAGTGTCCGGGCCTTTCTCCATAGAGCGCCCTCTATCGTCAGGAGTGCGAGAATTCCAGGAGAAGAAGGCAGACTGGCCGCTCAAAGAACCCATGCCGAAATTGGCGTCCCATGCGCAGGTACACGGATACTGCATACAGTGAAAACTCATTAATCCGGACCCTGGACTAAATTCACCTAATTCGTAAAATGGCTGAAAATGTTACTGCCACTTTACATTTCCTGAAAATTTCATCGATTTTATTTTTATTTATTTGGCAGATTGAATGCTCAATCACGAATTTTAATTAGGAGATGACGTGAGGTGAAATGAAGTTTAACGTCGCGTTCAAGTATATTACAGTTGTATAGCGACGTGGATGAACGTCTGTGTGTGTGCCAGCGTGCGTGCGTGCGTGCGTGCGTGCGTGCGTGCGTGCGTGCCCGCGTGCGTTACCTTATAGAACATAAAGAACTCCTTGGGAATTTTGTTCCCGTGGTACTTTGGTAATTTAAGACCCGTCGGACTCGATTATTTTCTGACCGCCGTCATATAGCTGGTATATTGTGAGTGCGGCATAAAACAACAAAAATCCAAATCTCTACCACTCAAAGAAACCACCCAATTCTCTCATATTACTCTCTTCTAGTGAATCAGCCATTCCGTTACAGATTAACTAATATGAAAAAATCGTGTGGTCCTTAACTTCTTTTGAGTAGTATAATTTTATATATCTACATCTATATCTCCCAACGACTGGGTTTTTCATCCAAGGCATCAGGCGAGGCGGAGTTCGTCAACGACATCCCATCGTCCACCCAGGAGTTGTGTGGTGCCTTCGTTGTGACGTCACAGGGACCGGCTACGATACAAAACGTAGATGCATCATGTGCCTTGGTAAGACAACACGTCCATATTCAGACTCACTTCAGACACACGCCCATTGTCCAGGTTCAATAGCCCCAAACAACCTATGCTTGTTGTAAGGCGACCTGATGGATCCGGGGGTCAGGCTCGATGACTTGGTTGATTGCGTGGCATCGTACCCCAAAGGCGTGGATTGTTGCTCATAATATCAATCACTGGGTTGTCTGATTCAGATTCGATTTTGTCTGATCCAGAATCGATTATTTACAGGCCGCCGTCATCAAGCTGGAATATTGCTGAGTGCGGCTTTCCACAACAAAAACGAAAATATACATTAACTTTGATATTCCATCAAAACTTACGGTAGTTTGATATATTGATTATACTCAATCTGAATGGCAATCACGAGTTTCCGAAACCATTAAAAAAAGCTTTGCCTCGAGGTTTTACCAAATAAAATATAAAGAACCCCTCCCCCCCCTCCCCCCCCCCCCACACACACACATACACACGAAACATGTTAAATTGCAAGTCCCTATTCAGTCCCCGTTCCTAATTCACCAATTGTGCTATTATTTGTAGCGTCTCCCCGGCGTCGTGGACTACATCAGTGTCAAGGACATCACCGGTGTCAACAACCACGTCGCTTCACTTTCAATTGCTCCATTGGCACCAGAAGAGGTGATAATTCGATTCCTTAAGAAATGTTGTAATTGTACACGTTTCAATCATATGATATAATTATAAAACGGTTTTTAGTATTCGTATTATGCTTTGAATAGTGATAACGGTGTGACAGCTTAATGGAAAGTATAACCTTAAAGTGACATGGATAAACACAGCAGTACTAAGGGACGCAACTCTGGGCCAGAGTGCCATCATTTCATTTGTGAATCGAAACATGGTGTTTTTCATGACAAGTTGGACACACACTCATAAATGTGTTCTTTCTTTCCTGTGGGTGAATAGTTGAATGTAAACACGAATAACAGTCATCATCATTATCATTATAGCCGACCAGTCCTTGTTTTGATGCCGAGCGCCATATGTGACATTTACCTCATGGAAACACACTCGCCTAATGCTCTATGTATCAAATGTTCTGCTTCAGCTGTTCTGCAGTGGAAAGGTTCTGTTTGCAGGACAACCCGTAGGACTTATTCTCGCAGGTATGTTGCGGTTCACACACTAAGTGAGTTCAACTCCGCTTTTAACATTATTCCAGTTATATCGCGGCGTGTCAGCTTAATGTTGGAGGAAAGTCCGAAGGGATCCAGGTCACAGACGTTTACCACTTCGGTGAAACCCACGAGCAGGGGTATGGTGCTGACAAACCTAAAAACATAATCGGGGCGAATACAATCATAGGTTTCTGGCGTGCCCATGGGACGCAACTCTGCACAGCAAATAACGACGCCTAAGACGACTGGGCCACCTGTGCCTCCACTGGTTTAAGTACCAAGGTACATTGTAGTGATTATGAACCGAAATATGTTCCTAACTACTATATCTTGTTCAAAATCTAAACGTCAAGGGCAGAGAATAATCAATCTCGATTATCTCCAAAGGACGTAAAATGCGAATTAGTGATGAAAATGTGAATGGATTACTGAAAATCAGTGATGACACCAGGTGTTCGCGAAAAGGAAAAGCATGTTCCTCTCTACCGGTAGCACAGCCACTCAAACAATTTCCCTGAAAATGTATATATCCAAAAGTCCCTGTCTATATGGTCGTCGGATCATAGGTTTTCGGATGTCATACGGCCATGTTTATCGCGATTACTCGCGCTATAACTGGGGGTGTAACATCACACAGACATTGTAAATACTCAGATGATTGAGTGTTTTTAAGAGGAAGTTGTCTTTTAAATGTGAATGAGATGTTTTACAGTTGTTCGTGTGATGAGAGAGAAAACTACGAATGGTTTTTTTAGCGTCCGAAAACCAATAACCATCTTCCCGAGGCAAGAGAGTTAACTGACTGTAAAAGTCCAGTTTCTACCCTTGCCGAACTAGGATGAAATTATGGAGTTATATTTTAGCTGGACTAATTAAGGAATCTATGCATAGTCCAATCAGAATAGCGTAACGAAATCGACATCCGGTTCGTAAACTGCCGTGCAGATTACGGTCGTTTGAAGGATTTGCAAAACATATGTACCGACGACTTAGCTCATCAGATATTTTCCAAATCTTTTCATGTTTTTAATCAAGGTGCTCATGTGATTTGATGCACTGCGCGAAGTAAGACCCGTAAAATCACAATATAGATTTTTATTATCGATCAGATCGTCTTCACTATTGAATAGAAAATCTACATATACTTGTACCCACCATTTTTATGTTAATACAGAGTCTCAAACAGCGGCCGACGAGGCGGCCAAGAAGGTGGCAATTACTTACAGTGACACCAGGCCACCTATCCTTACCCTCGATGAAGCTATTGAGAAAGAGAGTTTCTTCGCCAACCCCATGGCTGAACACAGGCTAGGCGACCCGGAAAGTAGGTATAGATGTGAGTGAGTGAGTGAGTGAGTGAGTGAGTGAGTGATTAGGAAAGAAAGTAGTCTAGCTACAGCATGTTTAATGATTCTAAGGAAGTTGAGCTTCACCTACTGCATAGGAATCTCGGACTATGGTGTTGTTTATGTACCTGGAGAAAATATCTATTATGTTTGAATTAGTGTTTTAAAATCAGTGCCTGGATATTATGTTTAAAGGGAATACTAACATTCACCTTCTGTATCGGAATCTCGGACTATGGTGTTGTTTTACCTGGAGAAAATATCTATTATGTTTGAATTAGTGTTTTAAAATCAGTGCCTGGAAATTAATTTTTAATTGAATTAAAATATTATTTGAAATAGTTAATCTTGTATTGAGATTTAAATCCCAGCCGTACATGTGAGCTTGGAGGGGTATGTAAATAGTTCACAGGTCTTCTAATCTTACAGCCGTAATGTCAGCTATATGCATCGTGATGCTTACTTGAGTAGAGTCCCAGGCGTACATGTACGCTGTATGTACCATGTGCTACATCACTAAGCCTACCTTGCTTACAGCTGCTATGAAGAAATGCTCCAAGACGCTGAGCGGCAGGACACTGTCAGGTTCAAACTACCACTTCTACATGGAGAACCAGGTGAGCTACAAGGCATTTCATTGTGAGTGAATGAGTATGGTTTTACGCGGCTTTTAGCAATATTCCAGCAATATCACGGCGGGGGACACCCGAAATGGGCTTCACACATTGTACCCATGTCGGGAATCGAACCCGGGTCTTCGGCTTGACGAGCGAAAGCTTTAACCACTAGGCTACCCGACCGTATACAAGGCATATCATAACCTCAGTTGCTAGGTAATACTTAACGGCAATTACGTTAAAGGTCACTCACATCTCTGAAACAGGAATATGATGGTCCCCAGTTCTTCATGCAGAATGGGATCTGGTTGTTTTGTGGCTTGGCTGATTGAGTGTCACATTGCTCAGTTTGTGTGCTTGTTTGTTTGTTTGTTGTTTAACAGCGCGCTCAGCAATATCCAAACTAAATGACGGCGGTCTGTAAATAATCGAGTCAGAACCAGACAGTCCAATGTTGGAGCACTGATTCACGCAATTGGGAAACGAGGACATGCAATCAACCGAATCACCGAGCCAGACCACACGATCCTTTTAGTCGCCTCTTGTGACAAGCACTGGACTAGTTGGAAATATATTCTAACCAGGAATCCGCCGGGATAACACTCTTTCATGAAAATGCGATGTGGTAGCCTAGTGGTTAAAGCGTTTTCTCGTCACGCGGAATATCCTGGTTCTATTTCCTACATTGATACAATGACTGAAGCCCATTCCTTGTGTCCACTGCTGTGATACAGCTTGTATATTGCTAAAAGTGGCGTTAATGTATATTCATTCACTCTTCAAGTAATGCATGTGTTCAAATTTAGATTTATGCATAAAGATTCAGTGTCAAAACACTCTCCACGAGACTGTATGTCAAGAGGGATGACTTCAACGCAACAATAGTCAACTTTCCCTTTATAACAAGCAATATACATTTCACAACTTTTGAGATAGAATCGAGCGTTCTCTTTCTACCAAGAATTCTAAGAGCGTCATGCAACTCTTGCTCAGAAGTTGTTTGATCAAGGTTACAGCATTCAAGGCCTCAGTGAAACTTTCAAAATGTTTTATGGTATGCATGTGGAGGACATTTCCAAATTTGACGCATCAGTGACATAACATATGTCCAATGCAATTCCCTCTTTTGACTTGTACAGAATGTTCCCGTTTTTTTAGGTGAAATATTGACTTTCCTTTGCATGTGTTTGTGACGGGTGCCACCGGTGGGGCAGGATACGCTTACCTTTTCGTGAACATCTAGTATCATCAATATTTGATAGTTATTCATAATTAAATGGTCATGATGTGGTCGGAATGTAACATTCGACTCTGGGACGGTCGGGTAGCCTACTGGTTAAAGCGTTCGCTCGTCACGCCGTAGACTCGGGTTCGATTCCCGACATGGGTACAATGTGTGAAGCCCATTTCCGGTGTCCCCCGCCGTGATATTGCTGGAATATTGCTTAAAGCTGCGTAAAACCATACTCACTCACTCACTACAATCGAATCTGTTTTTTGGCAGAGATTTCTTATTGTAAGGGTTTTCGTCGTTGTTATATACATGTATATTAATGATAAAAAAGAACAACTATTATGTTTCCCGTCCACCAGGTGACGCTGTGTGTGCCATCAGAGGAACGCTTGGATGTCTACACCGCCACACAGTCGAGTGAACTGACCCAGGGGTCTGTCTCCATGGTTACAGGACTACCCATGAACAAGTGAGTGAACAAACACTTAATTATATTAGAAGCCGACCTTTTTATATTCTGGGAATGGGGTCGGGGGTCGGCGTGGTGTCGCTGGGAATCTGTCTTAAATGCAAAAGGCCCAAACTACTAAATTTAATAAATAATCGTACACATGACACAACCGTGAAGATCCGGGTTAGAATTGGTCTTCACCAAACCATGCTTGCCGTAAAAGGCGACTATGCTTGTAAGAGGCGACTAACGGGATCGGGTGATCAGACTTTCTGTCTTGGTTGATGCATGTCATCGTATCCCAGTTGCGTGAATCGATGCTCATGATGTCAATCACTGGATTTTTTACGGACTGCCATTATATCGCTGCAATATTGCTGACGTCGGCGTTAAACAACACACAAACAAAACATATGACAACTGGATGGCAGTTGTAGTAATACCAAGCCTTAACCGACGTAGACCTAAATCTAACCGTACCATCCATGTTTTCAGCGTCGTCGTTACCGTCCCCCGGGTAGGCGGATCGTTTGGGGGCAAAGCCTTCTGCTCCATCCCTGTAGCTGCTGCCGCCGCTGTTGCAGCACACAAGACCAAAAAGTAAGCATTTTCTTCTCAGTGAGAGCGTGTTGTTTCAGTTCCGCTTTGAACGGTACGACCTCCAAGTGATGCACTCTCAAACATTACAACTTTGGTGAAGCTCGCGAGGTATGGATCAGACAAATCTAGAATCATAATCAGGGAGAATCTGGGATTCGAACCCAAGATCATTGGTTTCTGGCACGGCTAAGGGACGCAACTCTGCACATGAATTGTGATGCGTTAGACGTCAGGGTCGCACATGCCTCTTGTTTTAGTTTACAATATACAGGTTATGTATTAGTACACAGTGGAGATGTGACCGTACGTGAAAATGATACATGTATTGATGTAGATGCCGTTATAAAGTTACAGTGAAATATTCATGTCTTTGTAATTTTCATACAGTGTACATTTTCTTTTTTCATAGACCAGTGAAAATCTCCGTGAATATGTCGACCAACATGAAGATGTCTGGAAAGCGGTTCCAAGTCCTTGCCAAATATGACGTAAGTTCTTACATTTCAGATGCACTGCTTTATGTGGAATAAAACGCCTGGTGTTTCCAGTGTAACTACACCCTGTTTTGTGGGAACCTATAACCGCGTGCATGGTGCAATATAGGATAATTACTGACCTTTTTGGGATTCGAACCCACGAACTGCGGATCGTTGAAACTAAGGACCGCAACTGTTCACTACAAAATTCGGTGCCTTATCATTGGCCCACCGGTGGACCCACAGTTTCTGAGGAGATATGATTATTATCATGTGAACACTCAATGATTCAGATGCAACTCGCAATGTAATATACACAACCCGACGTTTCTATTTTGTAAAGCGTTGCATAAAACCACAGTTCGCGCTGAGTGATCGTGTGAGTGGTCGAGATGGTGATCGAGTGGGTGATCGAGTGTGTGATCGAGTGGGTGTTCGAGTGGGTGATCGAGTGAGTGATCGAGTGGGTGATCGAGTAAGTGATCGAGTGAGTGATCGAGTGAGTGATCGAGTGAGTGATCGAGTGATTGATCGAGTGAGTGATAGAGAGGGTGATCGTGTGGGTGATCGAGTGGGTGATCGAGTGGTCGATCGAGTGAGTGATCGAGTGGGTGATCGAGTAAGTGATCGAGTGAGTGATCGAGTGAGTGATCGAGTGAGTGATCGAGTGATTGATCGAGTGAGTGATAGAGAGGGTGATCGTGTGAGTGATCGAGTGAGTGATCGAGTGGGTGATCGAGAGTGATCGAGTGAGTGATCGAGTGGGTGATCGAGTGAGTGATCGAGTGAGTGATCGAGTGGGTGATCGATGAAATATATGTTCGAAAATTTCGCAGTCCCCCAAAGCGGAGTGGCCGGCGATATTTCAGTAGGTGACGGTCTATCAGAGGCTGAGGAATTTTTGAGAGATACTTCCCTTTGTTCCAGGTTGGGTTTGACGAGGCAGGTCGTGTCCACGTTGTCAGCATGGACGTCTACTGCGACGGCGGCAGCTCCCCAAACGCAGCGTTGTTTTTCAGTGAAGTGATGATGTCGCTGGATCAAGGTATGTTGGTAAATTAATGTATTCTCATCTATATACTGACGGCAATAAATAAAGGAACACATACAAAGATGCTTCGTTAGACTTGTGTTCTTCATATGATTACCCCTGGGGACCCCGGGGTACAACTGATCCCCAGCAACCCATGCTGGTCGTAAGAGGCGACGAAACGGATCGGTGGTCAGGCTGGGTGACTTGGTTGATGCATGTCATCGTACCCCGATGGCGTTGATCGTTGCTCACAATATCAATCACTGGGTTGTCTGGACCAGACTTGATTATTTACAGGCCGCGTCATAGAGCTGGAATATTGGAGTATAGTGATCTAGACTACCAGTTGTCGGACTTTCATTTTTTGTGGAAGCCTCGGTGACTGATTGGGTTAGATCACTGACTCTGTGTGCTGGCGATTAGGCCTCACTCTGGAAATGTGGGTAGGGACCCCGGACGGGTCTCAACCCAAAAAAGGGTACGAGAACCTGTACTTTACAAAGAAAATGTTATCCCAAATATAACATTTGTTACATGTTAGAAAATATTTGGTTGTTTCTCCAATACATTATGTTGCCAGGCTACTACATCCCCAACTGGAGAATCAAGCTGGTAGCCTGCAGGACGGACAAGGCGGGGACCACCATCATGAGAGCGCCAGGTCAGGGATCCCCAACATCATATTGACAACAAGCAGACCACGGAAACACACCCAGTTATCGCCCTTCCATTACAATCGGAATTGCTCGGTTAAGTCCGCTGAACTGCATTTGATAGGTGTTCGCTTTCGAGATAATATAATCATATCATTATATTAGCATTTGTAAGACGTTTGGAATTTTCCAGCGTGGTACAGGAAACTTGTACCTCAAATGTCAGCCGGGGACATTAAAAAGGCCCATTCTGTAACCAATCCAAAAAGAGTATCTTAATGCAAGGTAAGAAAAATATCAATGTTCGATCCACTCTCAGATGAAATCACGCCCTATTTGGGGATTTTGAATGGAGATGACATATTTGTTCAGCTACAGCTGCAAAACCAGATTTTTTAAAACTAAAAGTATAAGTTTGCATATTTTACAAAGAAAAATGCCCTGCAACACCGTAATATTTGTAGTAGACAAGTTCTTTCTATTTAAAATAGATTGCTCGAAAATTATTTTTCAAGCCAGTTCGTAATTTTTTCGATAAAATCCCTGCCCCCACCCCCCAAAAAAATATCAGTTGAGTCTGTATTCTATTTCATACGGTCGACACGCTTTCAACACAAATCAGTGTAGCCACGTGTGTCTCGTGTATTCATGTACATGTTTGACTCGTAGTATGGTGTGTGGGCGTGTCCCTTACTTCATGTTAAGTGAGTGAGTGAGTATGGTTTTACGCCGCTTTTAGCAATATTCCAGCAATATCACGGCGGGGGACAACAGAAATGGGCTTCACACATTGTACCCATGTCGGAAATCGAACCCGGGTCTTCGGCGTGACGAGCGAACGCTTTAACCACTAGGCTACCCGACTTCATGTTGTATGTCACTGTGCTATATGTTAAAGGGACTCTCCCAGCTGGTCTCCTCATCGAGTCTGTGTTCGAGCACGTGGCCAAGCATCTCAGCCGGAACGTCCTGGAGATCAAGGAGCTGAATCTCTACAAGGCTGGCCAGGTTCCATCATATTTTGTGTTTCTCACCCCATTAAATTTTTCAACCGACTAACCTGTAAATCCAATCTACGAAAAACATAAATGTCTGTTTCATGTCTAACGCCGCACTACGTAATATTCCGGCTATATTACGGTGGTCAGTGAATATTGGAGTCTGGAGAAGACAATCCAGTGACTGATATCATGAGCATGGGTTCACCCAATTGGGATACGATGACATGCATTGAACCAAGTAACCGAGCCTTTCCACCAGATGCACTGCATCGTCTCGTACGACAATATTCTTACCAGGAAGCCCCACAGGTCTTTATGTAAGGGCGCGAGAGTATCAGGAACAAACAGAGATAAGTCTGTCCACATCAAGGCAAGTGACGAAGTATCCTATTCCCAACCCATTTTTCAAGGACTTTGGGAAATAATATGTGAAGCACAAAGATACAAAAAGTCGGAATTACAGGCGTTGATGACAAATAGCATAGCGCGGTTTGAGATATTTTTAAGCCAACTGGAACGTCATGATTATAAGAAATGAGCAGTTTCAAGACTTAATGTATAAAACACTTATCTTTAACATTCATTAATACAGTACGGGTATGACACAAATTCGTAAAAAGATTCTTTTAGAAAGTTTCAAGTTTTGTTTAATGTAACTAGAGACAATCTTGGTCTCAAGTGAAGTGAATGTTGTTTAACTTAAAAATGAACTCCAATGACATGAATGAATATAATTAATTTTCTTTGTTGTCTCAGACTGACCTTCGTGGCCATGAACTGACATATTGCACCTTGAGGAAACTATGGACAGATCTACAGCAGTGGGCGGATGTTGCCAGACGCAAGAACGAGGTCAACAGTTTCAATAAGGTACAGTAGCTCACACATCTTCTTCAGCAGTAACTTATAAATACAGTGAGACCTGGTATTTTCCACGATGGGTGAGTGAGTGAGTGAGTGAGTGAGTATGGTTTTACGCCGCTGTTAGATATATTCCAGCAATATCACGGCAGGGGACACCAGAAATGGGCTTCACACATAGTACCCAAGTCGGGAATCGAACCCGGGTCTTCGGCGTGACGAGCGAACGCTTTAACCACTAGGCTACCCGACCGTCCCTTTTCCACGCTGGATGGACAACCAGTTTCATGTTGAAATTATAGCATTGGTGCACAAATGAGTAATACTAAATTTGGCAAACAAATGACCGAGCAAGGAGCAAAGTAAGCGCCTGCATTCTGATATAAGTTTCCTAAAATCAGAATCAGCATCATATAACATATTCTTTGTACAGAAAATCTGGTGTTATTATTGTTATTATTATATACAGATATAATAAATGCAGCAAAAAGGGTTCGTTTGATCCTGACACAGTTAGGCTGGTTAGGCCCATCATCAGCTCAGGGCCCTTTTCCACTCTACACGCAGCCCAGACAGCGATTGGGACTTCTCACAGGAAGTGCTGCCATGTCGAACCAACTCAGAACTTTTCGGAGAATGTGAAGACTCCCCAACGCTGCATCCTTCTGCATTACCCAGATTGTCAGAAGGGCTGTATTCCTGGCAGCAAACTCGGGTACTCTCCCAATGGCAGTCAACAGATTGGGAGCTACCAAACCTAGGCACTGAGAACAATGTGGAGTCTGACATTCGATGCACTGGTCGTTCAGATAGCCTCTAGCCTCTGGGCCGATTGTTATGGCACTTCGCTTGGTTGATACTCATATCTGTACCTTCCAGCAGTACAGAACCGTCAACAAAATCAACATTGAGATTATGTGAAATGCCTCGTTTTCAACATGAGTCTTGACGATGTTCACCATCAGAGGACCATCAGACAAATAAATGTGGGCAAAAGTGCTCAGTACTATTCTGTCATGAAGAGCCTGTACGTTAATCATTATTATTATTATTATCATCATTATCATCATCATTATTATTATTATTATTATTATTATTGTTGTTGTTGTTATTAGAGTTTCAACATGAAGTAAACACTAATGTGCTGTGACGCTTTTACTAGTGTCGCATATGATATTATCTCACTCGGTTAAGAAAGAGAAACCTCTTTGCGACATCCGTTTGGTGAAACCAATCTGACACACATACACTCATGTGTTAATCAAAACTGGAAATGCTAAACTGGTTAAATGGACACAGCAATTGATACCATGATCACTATGTTTGTGAGACACATGCAGTTGGAATTATTATACTTTTAATAGGCTAACCAATGGAAGAAACGTGGGTTGACGATGACGCCGGTGAAGTATGGGATGTTGTACATGGGGTCGGGCTTCACCGTCGACGTTGCCATCTATGCCCGAGACGGCACCGTTACTGTCGTCCAGGGAGGCGTTGAGATGGGACAGGGATTATTCACCAAGGTGTGTAGACATATTTGTTAGCTTCACTCCCTCTTGAACTTCGGTCGATGTAAATAAACAATAAATACAATTATGATAATACAATACAATACACAATGCAATATATTTGTTGTTTCCAAAGTCCCACGCCATCAGGATGCGATGACACAAAATCAACACCAATTGTGGTGAGTGAGTTGGGTTTAACGCCGCTTTTAACAGTATTCCAGTTATATCGCGGCGTGTCAGCTTAATGTTGGAGGAAAGCAGGTCTCAGACGTTTACCTCCTTGGAGAAACCCACGAGCACGGGTATGGTGCTGACAAACCTAGAAACATAATCGGGGCGAACCGGGATTCGAACCCACAATCATAGGTTTCTGGCGTGCCCAAGGGACGCAACTCTGCACAGCGAATCGCGGCGCTTTAGACTACTGGGCCACCAGTGTCCCCAACACCAATTGTAACTCGTAATCCTCACAAGAGAATGCAATACCTAACAAAACCAAGAATGCAATTCGATACAAATTTGAATGCTATTATATCATTAGAAAATACAACAATAATGCAATGCAATACAATCCATAACGATCCTCTTAAATGCAGTACAATACAATACCATGCAATACCATGTAATACAATGCAATCTCGTGATTAGCTTACATATTTTCCTATCCATGCTTGTCGTAAAAGGCGACTAACGGGATCGGGAGGCCAGGTTCGCTGACTTGGTTGATGCATGTCATCGTATCCAAGTTGCGTGGATCGATGCTCATGATGTCAATCGCTTGATTGTCTGGTACAGACTCGATTATTTACAGACCGCCGTCATATAGCTAGAATATTGCTGAGTGCAGAGTTAAACAACAAACAAACAAACCTATTTTTACTTCTAGGTTGCGCAAGCGGTGGCCATGACATTGGGCATCCCCGTGAGCAAGGTGAAGGTCCTGCCTAACCAGTCTCACACAACAGCCAACAGCTTTTTGTCTGGGGGAAGCACAGCCAGTGAAATATCAGTCATGGTAAGACAAATTGGATTCAGGATTTTCGTTTAAGTATCAATACTTTTATCAATGCATGTTTTGTGTCCAAAAGACGCGGTGACCATAGATAAACTTACATCTCTTTCTTCAGAGGTTCAAGAAGATTTGTCAGGAATGAAAGCAAGATTAATGATATCTGAAGTTTACTGAGAAACCAATATATGAAATCCTGGACTTTCTCCTAGATCCAAGTAAAACTTTGACATTCATGACAGAAGTAGGCATCACCATGAACACCAATTGTGTTCCCCCACTTGCTAAACTGTTTCTCTTATCACATCTGATTATTAAATCAGAATGGCAAAATCAAAACGCGAGAATTTGGCCAAGAACTTGTTTCAAGTAAATCGATAGTCTGGTAACATTTAATTCCTTGCAAATCGCAATTCTCTTCCACTGATTGTCATCCCTGAACGTGAAATTATAGTGACCAGTGACAAAACGTTCCCTTTGATATATGTCGAGCAGTATCCAAGCGGCTTTAGCCTTTGGTGTCGACATTTCACACCTTTTGAGATACAATCCAAAGAAAAAATCAAAGATCGTCACACGACTCTTGCTCAAAGGTCGATTAATCTGGGTTGCGGCATTCGAGGCCTCGGTAATTTAAAAGCTTTCAAAACATATTATGATGGACATGCGGAGAACATTTCTAAATCTGATGCACACGTGACCAAAAAATGATGTCCGATGAAATTCCCTATTTTGACTTGTATTACATGTACCCGTGTTTGTTCAGGTGAACAATTGACTTGCCTTTGCATGTGTTGCGACGGGTGCCACAGGTGGGGGCAGGATAGCTCACCTTTTCCTGGTATCGTCGCTATTTTAGAAAACATAAAAAAATATGGACATTTTCATATTTTCCCTATTTGTTAGTCATTTCATAAACGTATATATATATATATATATATATATATATATATATATATATATATATATATATATATATATATATGATTATGATATAGTTGGAATCGTACAATGGAATCTGCTTTTAGTAGAGATTTCTTATGATCATGGATATTGCCTTGTCTCTTTTATTAAACTTTATCATTGTCTATTTAATGCGAAGACATCGTTCTGTTCATTGTCAATTGACCCCTGAAGATCCGGGGTAGAAAGAGTCTTCAGCAACCCATGCTTGCCGTAAAAGGCGACTATGCTTGTCGTAAGAGGCGACTAACGGGATCGAGTGGTCAGGCTCGCTGATTTGGTTGAAGCATGTCATCGATCCCAATTGCGTGGATCGATGCTCATGATATCAATCACTGGATTGTCTGGTCCAGACTCGATTATTTACAGACCGCCGTCATATAGCTGAAATATTGCTGAATGCGGCGTAAAACAACAAACCAACCAACCAATCATCGTCAATTATCCAATCTATCGTATCTCCATTATATTATGATAGAAGCCCTGGATCCTTTCGCTAGCAGATCGTCAGCTTCTCCATTTTCTCATCAGCAAGTTCCCACAGAATGTATCTCTCGCTGGTTGTAATAACCAATCAGATATGCATTCAAATGTCTGATTCAAGAGTTACGCCCCTTCTACAAAATTCCAAAACATTGATAGGACGGCTAGTTTTAGCATTGTAATTTGCAGCGGAATCTAAACGAGTGGGTTGAAGGTACCGTAAACTACGGTTATAACGAACACGCTTATAACGAACTGACGGATATAACTAACTTACTTTTTGGTCCCGACTATTTGCTGTAGTTATGCTGTATATATGCTTATAACGAACTACAGCTATAACGAACTAAAATTAGTAGTCCCTTTGAGTTCGTTATAACCGTAGTTTACTGTATTTAAAATGCACCATGAATGGAATATGTAATACCCTTGATCGTCGAGGATGCAAATGGTTATACCTCTACTACGTGTCCTACAGTCTGCCCTGAAGTGTTGTGAGATCCTGAAGGAGAGAATGGCACCAGTCCGTGAAACCAACCCTGATTCTGACTGGGAGGCACTGGTGAAAGCGTGTGACTTGGCGGGAATAGAACTCACTGCAAAGCACAAGTAAGTCTGGCGTTATATATAATAATATTATTATACGTTTGCCAGCACCTCACCCGTGCTCGTGTCTTTCACCCAAATGGTAAACATCTGAGACCTGCATCATTTCGAGATTTCCTTCCACTGTTGAAAGCGGCGTCAAAATCTAAACTCACTCACTCATATTACAACAGTTGATCTTGCCAGGGAGACAATGGCATTGAACTTTAACCCAATCCAAACTCCCATAACACTCAGAAGAAATAATCATCGACTGCTAATTTCAAGCTTTGGTAATCCCAAAACGATGCTTATGTAATAATGCAATATTTAGAGACGCATAGGTTTCCACTCTTAATTCCTTGGACAAGGTGTTCAGAAACAAACATTTAGTGTCGTGTGCAAACAAGAAATTAACTGTGACGTAATTAGGCTTTCCAGCATTTTATGTTGCACGTTGTTATAGCAAATCTTATAACCCCACCCCCCCACTCCAGTCTCCTCGACATGGGTAATATTGTTTACTTAGATGAGTTTTTGCTCATCTCTTGGCGAACACCTGGTATCATCAGTATTTGAGACTGATTTGATGATGTCCATGATGTAGTTGGATGATAGATGGAGATAGAGATTTCTTTTTGATAGTGAAAAACGTCTTCAACTTGCACCAACTTGGCCTCTCATATTAAGCCGGACCCGTGAAGACCCGGGGTAGATTAGGTCCTCAGCAACCCATGCTTGCCGTAAAAGCGACCATGCTTGTAAGAGGCAAGAAACGGGACCGAGTGGTCAGGCTCGCTGACTTTGCTGATGCATGTCATCGTATCCCAAGTGCGTGGATCAATGCTCATGATGTCAACCACTGGATTGTCCGGTCCAAACTCGATTATTTACGGACCGCCGTCATATAGCTGGAATATTGCGGAGTGCGGCGTTAAACAACCAACAAACAAACATACAAACAAACAAACAAACATTAAGCCTACACACTGTGTTATTGAGAATACTTTACCCAAAGCGCGTTTCACCTAACTCACCCTTTACACCATAATTTTTACCTTGTGCCCTAGATCTGTCCCCAAGAAGAAGGACGGACCCGGGGAGTTCCACTACTTCACGTATTGTGTGGGGGTGACGGAGGTGGAGTTGGACGTCCTCACCGGGGAGAACCAGGTCCGGAGGGTCGATATACTCTTCGACTGTGGAGAGAGGTAGGTTCATGCGTACTGTGTAAATTTATAACGCCAAGGTCAGAGAGTAACCAGTCTCGATTATCCCCCGAAACTGATTCTATTGAGGAAAGTGATGACATTTAATGGATGGATCACTGACATCAGTGATGACACAAGGTGATGACATCACTAAGTTATCCTTTATTGATTCATACATCGGAAAACTCAGCTTGTTCTTATCTGGACTAATATGGATTATAGTGCTATTACACTCAGATACCATGCTGCAGTTTAACATGAATACCCCACTCAGACAGCGTATACTGACTCCGAGCCTACCAGTCCTTGTTTTAGCACCTTAATGCTGAGAACCAGACAGGGTAACAAAAAGGTACCACATTTTAACGTCTTTTAGTATGACGCGGCCGGGTGGACGCTCTACCACTGGACCACGGAGGCGGTCAAGGCTATGTGGGAAAAAGGTGGTTACGTATTCCCACTAATTAATAAACGCCGTGTAATTAAGTGACTCAAATACATGCTTCTTGGTTTTGTATCATTTAAATTTGGTGGTGAGATACGGTTCTTTATATTTTCATAATTGTCAAGACAACCCTATATTCGTTTGTCTTGTGTATCTCGAGGAAAGTTTATAATATGTTAGAAAGATAAGCGGTGCTCAGAAATTCTGTTTCTACTGTGTTTCACCAAGATGTTATAGTTAATACGAAACGTATCCCCATCATAATTATGCACATAGAATCCACCAATCCTTACACAATTGAACCAGAAATGTCTGAACTTGCAGCCTGAACCCTACTATCGACATTGGTCAGATCGAAGGTGCCTATGTGATGGGGCTGGGAAACCTGCTGACAGAGAACATCATCTACGACCCGGAGACAGGAGCAGTGCTGACTGATGGCACCTGGGTGAGGGCTATATATACTTACCCCTCACCCCCAACCCGTCACAAACTGTTTTACTGTCCTTTGTCGACAGGTATTTTAATAATATTTAGCTTGTTTTCGTCGCAATATGGCTGCAATATTGCCCATGTGATGTAAAATCATAACTCACTAACCCCACCACCCCGTCAGTGCGTTTAACATACACGCGCATTTTGAACTAATTTCATAATTCTGCGAATATCATGAAATACCTTTAAGAAAACTTTAAAGTAATTTGTTGACTGAACATGTTAGATGTTCCGAAGACATATGATTCTGGTGTTTGAATGGCATTTAGGAGTGATACGGATAAGGAAAAAAATTAACTTCTTTATCATGAGGAACACAACGTTTCGAGGTATATACTTACTCCTTCATCAGGTGAATAAGTGCTATGAGAACATACATATGTACCTGTAAGAGCAACAAAAGTGATAAGATAACAAAGGTGGAAACTTAACATGGGAGGCCAACAGTTAATTGGCGCTGATAGGTGATTAGCAGTAGACAAATGGAAGTCAACGGTGAACAGTTTATTAACGCTGACAGGCGATTGCGATGACAACTTGAAGCCAGGACTTAAATTATCACTGATTGGTTATGGACAATGGACAATGGGCAAACGGGAGGCCGGGAAATAATTATCCAGCTGGCCATTGTCCATTGCTAATTACCCTTGGTCTCCCGTTGTTCATTGCCCATAATACTGTTCCTCATAATAAAGAAGCTGACATCCATAAATTCTCTTCCTTATATGTTTCTGGGTTCAAAATGTTCTGCTCGTTATAGAAACAAACCGTTTTGCATGACTTCAATCGTCTGTCAAACGTCCCTCCTCCACCCCACCCCATCTCACAGGTTAGTTAGGGGTGGGTGTTTGTACTGAAAGCGAAGAGACATGTACTTTCTTATCACACAGGAATACAAGCCCCCCACCACTAAAGACATCCCTGTGGACATACGCATCAGACTGTTGCCTGATGCTCCTAATCCCTACGGAGTTAAAGCATCGAAGGGTAGGTGCTTCATTCCATAAAGTTAGTTTAATAAATAAATAAAATACACTGTCTATAGTGATGTCTGGTATCGTCATTCCATTATTGTTCAATTAATTATTCTACCATGAATTTAGAAAATACTCGATCGTGATTGGTCAGTAAGAGGTTTCAAATCACCGTAATCCCTTACTATGTATTCCCCAGCCTCCGGTGAGCCTCCTATTGTCTTGGCTACCGGAGCACTGTACGCCTTGAAGCAGGCAATGGAAGAGGCCAGGTTTGATCTGACGTCAAACAAAGAGTTCCAGCCAACAGGTAACATAATATGCTTTGTTTGTTTGTTTAATATTGTTTAACGCCGCACTCAGCAATCTCCCAGCTATATAACGCCGGTCTGTAAATAATTGAGTCTGGACCAGTCAATCCAGTGATTGACATCATGAGCTTCGATCCACGCTATTTGGACCGCGTGTTCAGCCTCGATTATTAACAGACCACCGTCATATAGCTGGAATATTACCGAGTGCGGCGTTAATCAACAAACAAACACACGATGTATGACAGCAGAGAAGTATGTTTTGTGTTGCCGTAACATGATAACAGGTAATACATATCCACTGAATGATGAGCTGAGGTGAACTATGGTTAAACGTCGCGTGTAGATTATTGCGCTTTTATAGCGACGTACACGTATGTGTAATGCCGAGATCAAGGCAGGGTAACAAAAAGTACCATCTTTTAACGTACCATCTTCCGCTCTCCGGACAGACGCTCCATCAACTGGACACTTTCGAGCCATGGTTGTGTAATGTTTCTAATGCATCTCCATTTCCAGTGGCGCCGTACACGGTGGAGCGACTGATGCTGGGGTGCGGTGTCCATGTTGATAAACTCGTGTTGTGAGGGATGTCTCCGTCGGGGAAGTTTGAGGATGAACATGTTCACTATAGCGGGGATGTATGCAACTACATATTACTATTACTGTGTCTTGAACCAGATAGGCACTCAGTAACAGATTTCATATCCCGCACAGTTAACGTGCTATCACAACACGAGAATCGTGGATATTAACCCATGATCATCGGATCCTGTCACGACAAAGGGACGTAACTCTGCACAGAGACTTGCAGCGCCTTAGATGATTCATTTGTTAATACATATATCAGACGAAAATGAGTCTGATATTAACATAATTATATGTATTTTTTTGCATCGTGTTTGACATTAGATTTATTAAGAAAATGAAATACGATGTAGCATATTATGTGCACAGATCGTTGATTCAACGGAAATTCCAATTTATGAGACGTTTTGAATAAAGGATAAAACCTAGGATGATCAGATGTTTCCTACAGCTCCTCTACACATAATTACAATTTAGCCATTCACATCACCTTACGTTGCGTTGCCGCCACGTATATTATGTACAGTATACATGCTATTTTGGTGGATCAAGGGATGTCAATTATAAAACTGAACTTAAGAAAATAGTGTATTGAGTACACCCACATCATTCTCTTAAACTTGTCTTCATTCCATAAAACGAAACCCGTTAATCGTTAATCGGTCCTAATTCACAGATTTCCGGATTAACGAATCAAAATGACCGAGAAGATTTTAATGTTCCTAACAGTAAAGCCCGAAAAACCAGGTTTCAGGACTAGCGAGTTTCCTCTGTACACTACCCTTGATACTATTATTAGAAAAAGGACAAGGCCAACAGGAAATGTTTTTAGGCTTTGGCGCGTCACTTAATCCAGCCCAAGTCATTTGTATTGCCAATGAAAGATAAACTTTTCAAATTCCTGCGTCATATTATAGTAACCAGACTCTGTTTAATTATCTATGCTTGACAACTGACTTTGTTTTAAAGAGTTCAATATGTGCCCAGTTGTGTTTGTTGGTATGCTTGGTGGAATAAATAAAAAAAGAATTCCTCACTCATTGTTTTCAATAAAAAAATGTAAACTCCTACACCCTCTTCACATTTGGAGAAACTTCCGGGTTAGAATATTTCTCAAGCATCCGAACATCCTGTGCTTGTCGTAAGAAGCAACTAACGGGATCGGGCGCTCAAGCTCGCAGACTTGGTTGATGCATGTCATCGTATTCCAATTGCGTGGATCGATGCTCATGATGTCAATCACTGAATTGTCTGGTCCAGACTCGATTATTTATAGACCGCCGTCAAATAGTTGGAATATTGGTGAATGCGGCGTTAAACAAACAAACAAACACACACACAACAAACAAACAACGTAAGAGCTGACAAATGAGGATCGGGTGGTCAGGCTCCATGATTTTGGTGATTGTGTGTCATCGTGCCACGACAGATGACGTGGGTTCTTGCCACACTCACTTCACTATAAAGGCGTTAATGAGATGTCCGATCAGTCCTTGTTTTAGCCCCGGGCAGGGTAACAACAAGTACCATCTTTTAACGTCTTTTGGTATGAAGAGGCCGGGGATCGAACCCCGGACCCTCCGCTCTCTACCTAGACCAGGGAGAATCTTGTAGAATGAAAAATAGTCCAAATTGCTTAAACTTTATATTTCACTTTATATCTATAAGGAATTATTCAAGATCAGTTTCCAGACCATATCCATTTGAATTTTCAACGTTAATCACGTGGAGTGATTCGGGTATATTTACAGTCGATTTGAACAGTATTCAGTTATATCATGGCGATTTGGTATGACACAGAAGGACAGGAATCGTAATCAGGACACACGACCAGCATTTCGGCATCTTTCCGAGACAAGGAAGTAAACTGACTGTAAAAGTCCAGTTTCAACCCTTGCCGAACAAGGCCGAAATATCACTTGCATTTGCTTGAAACAAAATGGAGGCGCCAATTGATTTCGATTTGATCAATAATCAAGATCCATATTGTAATAAAACGGGTCTTACATCGCGAAGTGCATCAAATCACGTGAGCACATTGATTAATCTGTTGTCGCTAAGTTGACGGTACACATGCTTTTCAAATTCTGCAATCAACAGAATTCTGCACGGCAATCTACGAACCGAATGTTGATTTCGTTACGCGGTTTTGATTGGACTATGCATAGACTCGTTAGTCCAGCCAAAATGTAACAGTTACTCCATAGTTGCGGCCTAGTTGGACTGGACGTTTATAGTCAGTGAACTCCCTTGCCTCGGGAACTTGGCTAGAGGCATGAGTGTTTCTGTTTTGAAGTAGTACTGCATATGGCATGTATGGTCCCAAACTGGAAGTGATATTTTGGCAATATTCCTCATTATGTTTGGCAATGTACTAGTCTGGGTATGAGATTGTAGGCATGCATTTCACCAAACAAAAAGATAATAATGGTATGACGCTGGAAATGTCTGGGGATGCTACTGTTGTTGCAAGTAGTCTTGCAAACACAATTCGAGCTGTTTAGGAGTCGACTGACGATGCAGGGGGCACGGGTGGCCCAGTCGTCTAAGGCGACGCGATTCGCTGTGCAGAGTTGCGTCCCTTGGGCACGCCAGAAATCTATGATTGTGGGTTCGAATCCCGGTTCGCCCCGATTGTGTTTCTAGGTTTGTCAGCACCATACCCGTGCTTGTGGGTTTCACCGAAGTGGTAAACGTCTGAGACCTGCCTCACTTCTGGCTTTCCTCCCACATCCTCCACACACGCCGCGATGTAACTGGAATACTGTTAAAAGCGGCGTTAAACCCAACTCACTCACTGACGATGCAATCATAAAATTAAATAAACAGTTTCATTCTTCTATTTGCCCGACCTCTCTATGTTTGATATTATACATCCACAATAACCTTACAAAGAGTGACTCATATATCAAATGTGTTATTTTGATAATCTGTCAAACAGTATGGTGAAAAAGATAAATAATATCCCTTAAAATTAATAGTACAAATACATGTATATGTTACTGTTGACATACTAAACATCCTCACCGTTTAGCAAAATATGTATTTCAACTGAAACAAAATAATTCAAACAACTTCAAACAAAATATTCCATATGGCGCAATACGGAAATATCATATGTTTATATATGGCATTTCATGATATGTGGTTTATTAGTCTTTTCTGTTTTCTTCTGATTTAACTGGATACGGAAACCATGTGTAATACGAAACAACAATAATGTGTGAAATTTCATGGTCCCGTCACTTAAGGCTTTCCAGTCACAACAAGCCGACACGCCATGATGAAACCTAGATACTGTTCAAAGTTCACTCACTCACTAAATAAAATCTTCATAGGATATGCTGTACATAAGGGATTCTATCCAGGAATGTGTTATAAGGAAGGACATATGTTTCATCATGGAAATACAATATAAACAAGATGGTTGTAATATTTTTATTGCCAATACCTAAACAACATAAGAACTGCTTTCATAATTTTGCTTCAGGATTGTTAATATTTTTGTTTTCAGTTGACAGATTGAAATGCACCAAAGAAAAAGTACAATTAATGGAGATGTTCCCACACCAAAACACTGACCCAGTATTCATTAAAATGATACAAGACACAAACAAATGTTCTTAGGTGTGTTCCAAACAAAGTGCCCATGAATGTTTTCATACAAAACAGATACACTATATTCACGTCTATACACTATTCATTCGAATACGTCTACTAAACATAGTGTTCATCCATTTGTTCCAACACAAAAGCTCTAACACTGTTCATGGAATTGTTCCAAAACAAAAACACTAACAGAATAACACTAACACACATTTATTGTCGTTGAAAGAAATATCAAAGATAACACAGTAGATATGCGGCTTTTATCTTGAACAATGCTATGGTATTGAGAATCCTTTACTTTTTTACGTCTCTAAGTGAATTAATGTTGTTCATGGGAAAATTTTCTACCTAAGGATGTTTGCAGGTTTTCTTGATTATCTAGGATTCAAAACGTCTACCACCCACTACTCTTCCACGCTGACATCATCTCGACCACACCTCCCCAGTCCTCCCAACCCGTATATATTTTATATTGCCAATCGTGCTTACAATATAGCACGAGAGCACCACGTACACTCTCTGATCACAAATCAGTACTACACTAAATATTAGTACGTTAGGTTCAATCAGTGTCAAGTGTTGTGACAATTATCGTGGACGCAGCACTTCTCCCTGTCTTCACTACTGTCACACAAGGCCCTGATATAACTGGAATACTGTTAAAAGCGGCGTTAAACCCAACTCACTCACAAAACATCTTACTGTTACTTTAATAACTTGATTTTTGCATATACATAGATTATATGCCTAGTGCAATAAATAAAGTGTTTAAAAATACAATGGTTGATCGGGATTGCCTAGTTTTGGTCAAGTACGTTTTTAACGATTGTTATAATTGGAAAGTTGAAGTCATCCCCCTTGTCATACAGTCTTGTGGAGAGTGTTATGTCACTCTGAATTTGAAACGGCATTGATCAACAGGCATACAGGTTGGGGGTGGGGGGGGGGGGGGGGGGGTTGGTGGTGGTGGTGGTGTGTGTGTGTGTGTGTGTGTGCGTTGTTGGGTGGTTGAAACACCAAGGTCGCAATGTTGACGTTTGGGGCACTGATGATGAGCACAAATTTGGAATTACAGTTCCAACTCACCCACTCAGTCACTCACTCACTTTCACACCTTTCGACCACGTGTGGCTGCTTGTACTAGTCCGGACTGATGCCGATTTATAGTGCTAGCTCACTGAGATACCATGCCGCAGTTTAACATGGATACCCCACTCAGACACAGTATACTGACTCCGAGCCGACCAGTCCTTGTTTTAGCCCCTTAATACCGAGCGCCAGACAGGGTAACAACAAGTACCATCTTTTAACGTCTTTTGGTATGACGCGGTCGGTGATCGAACCCCGGACCTTCCGCTCTCCGGGCGGACGCTCTACCACTAGACCACGGTGGCGGTCTTGTGGTAGATTGACTTCTTCGACTGTACACAATGCGGTCTCAAAACCAGGAGGCAGTACAGTGTCGGAGCTCTTTCTCGTCGCATTTTATGAAGACGTCAGTTTGTGCCGAGAAAGTAAATGGTACTGAAAGGTAGGTAGTGATGTACAGTTAACTACGGTTATAACGAACTCAAAGGGACCACTACGTTTAGTTCGTTATAACCGTAGTTCGTTATAAGCACATAAACAGCATATATACAACAAAAAGCCGGGACTAAAACGTATGTTCGTTATATCGGTCAGCTCGTTATAAGCTTGTTCGTTATAACCGTAGTTTACTGTATTGGTATATTTTAATTGTTAGCCTGGAAGCCGAAACCTTACTAATACAAAACCTAAAACCCCAAACCATCCTCTGATAATAACCGCTACCCCATTCACACAAGAATATATATTTGAACGACCGATAATTCTCACCCTATGATAGGAAGCGACCCACGTGCAATCCCCTGTTCACCTATGATATACAACTGACCGTTCGTCCTCAAACTATGTTATATATAACCAACCCACGTGTAATACCCTGTTCACCCTATGATATATAACTGACCTATTGCACTCCTCACCCTATGATATATAACCGAACCACGTGCAACCCCCTATTTACCTGTATTTGACCGATTGCACTCACTTTATGATATATGATATATAACCGGAACTCATGCAATCCCCTATTTACCCCATGATATATAACTGACCTATTGCACTCACTCTACGGCAATCTGTAAATTAGAGTGAGTGAGTTGGGTTTAACGCCGCTTTTAACAGTATTCCAGTTTTATCACGGTGCGTCAGCTTGATGTGGGAGGAAAGCCCGAAGTGATGCAGGTCTCAGACGTTTACCATTCCGGGGAAACCCACGAGCACGGGTATGGTGCTGACAAACCTAGAAACATAATCAGGGTGAACCGGGATTCGATCCCACAATCATAGGTTTCTGGCGTGCCCAAGGGACGCAACTCTGCAAAGCGAACCGCGGCTCCTAAGACGACTGAGCCACCCGTG